ATCTTACCTCATCAATGGGTTCGTCCACATATACCCAGTCTTCTGAACCCAGTATGGGTGGGAGTAGCACGGTGGATACTTGGGCTTTGGGTTTGGGTAGCACTATACTGAGACCTGTTGGTGTGATATCTTACCTCATCGATAGGTTCGTCCACGTACACCCAGTCTTCTGAGCCCGGTTGGGGTGGGGGCGGCCCAGTGGGTACTGGGGGTTCGGGTTCCGGCTCTGGCTCGGGGGTTGGCTCCCTCTTGGGTGACTTTCGTCCAGATTTACCACGCTTGGGGGAACCTAACCAAAGGAAACCCAAGAGGCGACATTCTGGCATGTAAGGCTACCGTGACGAAGATATCACAATTTGGGGGGAAGTACTCTTAGATATATCAGTAGCACAGCACACAGTGAAACTGTTAAATGATGACCATGCAAGGATTGTAAGTTTGTGAGCTTTGTATGTTGGAAAATTAGGAAATGGGCAACACGGAAGGGGAAATATGGCTGATCTGAGGAATCATCATGAAGACATCTCTGAGGAGTAGTTAGGATTTGGTTCCGGCTGAACCGTGGGCTTTCATGGAAATCCTCTTTCTCACTCAAAACACAGTGTGTCACGGGGGAGTCAGGTTGGCATAGTGGTTCTTTCCTCGCCTTCCACCTCTGCGGTCCAGGTTTGATTCCCGGCTCGGTCCACATGTGGATTGGGTTTTCAGTCCCTACCTGATTCCGTGGGTTTTATCCAGAATATTCCTCTGGGGTTTTCCTCCCACCTCTGAAACTGTAACAGCTTCTCATTGTCTCCTCTCTACAGGTTCCTTCAGGCTTGCGAGCAACAGAGCCTAGGGCACTTTTGAGGAATCCTTGGTGTCATTACCAGATTAATAAATAATAATAATAACCCAGATTTTTTTCTCAGATGCATAAACAAAAGATACACAGAATACTTCGTCTGTGGGCCTTGGTCTCTCCAATATATTAGACTGAACGGTTTTACCAAGGTACTGGGCACTTGTTGCAATCAAGTATTTGAAAGATAATTTATTCCGCCTAAGTGTCAGGTGGATGAGCAGAATCTCCTAACCGTTGGAGTTAGAGCTCGTAGCACAGTCTAGAGTTGAGTGATAAACATGCACACTTCACGCTGTAGTGCTGATGTTAGGACATGCAATGGGGGGGGTTAAACCGATACCAGTGATAATAATCATTTGGGTTAGCAATAAACAAACAAACAAACAAACAAACAAAACAAACCTGACTTGCCCCTCTTGCCTACATACACAATGGGAAAGTGTAATATGAAAATCATTAATCAATTTGCATCAACGGAATCTAATGATTTACATATGATTTTTTTTTAGTATATCAATTTAATTAATGCCAAATAAACTATAATACTACTTCTTGTTTGGTCTCTCTTTTACTTCTTTACTTCAAATTCAAATGGTCATCGGATGGATTTTCGGCAGATCTTACCTTTGCCACTGGATGGGGATCTCTTGGCACTTCCTGATCGGGAGCCTTCTCTCTTCTTCTCCCGGTCTCGTTTGCCACTCTTTGGGGACTTCTCCCGTTTGGGGGAGTTACCTCGTTTGGGAGAGCCGCCCTTGGCTGACCCACTACGCTTTGCCGAACCTGGGGAAAGAATGAGACAAGAATAATGCTTGATACGCCCGAGGTCGTTTTGGGGGAAATGATGCTGTCTTGCTGGAGGTGCATAGCTGGCAAGTATACATTTTGATGCAGCTATAATGGAGAATATACCTCGTTTGAGCAAAAAAACAACTAACTGAGTAAATTCTATCTGAGTGTGCAAACTGTACAGAGCCCTCAACAGTTGAATCATGGAGAAAATGAAAGTATTGTAAGGTAGCCACTTTCTAGATCATCGCACAAAAATTTTACTGTTGGGACCAACAAAACGCAAGATTTGGCCTCACAAAAGGCAATGTGATGATTCTAAAGCTGAAAACGGGGTTTCATACTAAGTATGCGGGTCTCAACTCGGAAGATGTAATGAGTGGAACTAAAGCCTGCATGAAGCCAAAAATGGAGGTTTTTTAAGCCCAAAAATCTGGAACTGCCAGATGTTCACCTGCTCGAGAGCCTTTCGGGGATCCTGGTGCCACCGCAGGGGTGGATTCTTTTCCTGCCTCAGACAGGGCACCATCGCTGGGCTGCAAGGAAACACAACATGAAAGGCATTGAGTACTATGGTAAACTACGGGTGATTCACAAAAGCGTGCCTCCAAGAGTTTGTCACACATTGGCCAATCACAGTGCACGAAATCTGTGAACCCAGTGCGTGTCTGGAAAGGGTTGAAAGATTTTGCGCGTGGTGATTGGCCAACGCATTGCAAACTCTTGGAGGCGCACTATCGTGAATTGCCCACACTGTCAGCCGACAATGTCATCCTCTCGTGTGGGTTAGCCACTGTCTGAGCAAGGTCAACCCAAAAACCGGTTCATCAAAATGGATTTCAATTGACCTTTGGGCATTTTCTTACAGAAAAGACGTTAAGTTGTGAACGGAAAATACAGCCTTCAGGGGCTGAATGCAACAGAAATAGCCATGAATATGCATGAATTCTGAAATGCTACATGACTGAGTTGAAAGTGAGGGTGCATCGTTATGCTGGTCACGAGTCTGCCACCCTACCTGAGTGTCCCCTTGCTGCGTCGCCAGTGAGTCCATGCCTTCAGTGGGCTGGGTGGTTGTTGGCACCTCAGATGTGGCCCCCGCTGTGCTGCCCTCGGTGGCGGCCTTGAGGAGATCTTCCTCCTGCTTTTCCGCTTCTTCTTTGGCTTTTTCGATCTGAAACCCCGAAAGATAAAGATGACTGTAGACTGCCCGTCGATTCAATCGAGATCTGCTGTTGAGACTTGAGTCAAACAATTCACTTCAACCTGGTTGGAATGTGGGTATGAATACCATCAGTCCGTTTTGGACTCTAAGGGGCACAAGCAGAACATTCTGTCTGCAAACAGGTAATTGTGAAGTATTCTGTGAGCTTAGGACACTCTAAATAACCTCTCCAGGCCCAATACTTGGTAGAGGTGGGTCATTCCATGAGGTTGGGGCACAATTTGTGACGGTGTTCATTGTTACATGGGTTCCGTAAAACTGAACAGCTATTTCCCTGCACGTGGATTCCAAATTTAAAGTTGAATACAGAGATGTGAGTTATTTTTACAGTGTAAATGACCTACTCTACAGGTCATGACAGGTGGTACTAGTTACCCATGTAACAAGGACACTGTCACAAATTGTGCCCCAACCTCGTGGAATGACCCAGGTCTTATTGATGCTACTCTGTTCAGGGGATTCCCCCATTTCTTGGGCTTCTTAACGAATGTTCAAAGAACACAATTTGCTTCATCGCCTGATTCTATTTCACACTTCTTCTTTCAAGGGCTTGTGGCCAAGCATTCAAGTTTCTTCACGGGATGACGCATCGCCTCTCAAGAACCACATTTTTTGTATTCACTTTCTCAGCCCTTGGAAGAGCACACGCTGAGGTACACTTGTCCACCTACCTTCTCTCTCATCTCTATCATGATCTCCTCCACCCTGGTGTAGGCCTCCTGCTGCTCGGAGGCCACGTCCACCTTGCGCAGGATGCCGAAGCCACTGAACCACTTGTCCAGTTTCTTCCAGGCGTCTTGGAAACCAGTCAGCCTAGAGCACAGAATCAATATTAAAACACACACTCACGTACTCAGAGAAACTACAGATAGTAAACTGCAGGGTTGTGTTCAAGTGTGTATGGCAGAGCAATCCCATGTCCACTAACAGTAGGAGTACAACCCTTGGGTGAGCAAGAGTATATACTCAAGGAGACAGGGGAGTACACTCTCGCATCAGGTGGGGATTTCAAGATGATGGAAAGGTAACCGTTGACCATTCCTGTGATGCAATTGAATGGAAATGTGCACGCAATCATTTGTGGGTGTCGAGACTAGCATGCAGGAGTGTGGCCACGGAGTACCCAGGACAAGCTGTGTGACTGGATCTGACCTGACCTGACCCAATGACTGACCTGTGTTGGATCTGCTCCTGGTCGTGCGCTGCATCCTTGACGGCCGACACCTTCTCTTGCTTACCTACCCCGGTGCAGCTGCCCTCAGGAGGTGGCTTGAACTCCTGCTGGTATTGTTCCCTGGACTGACTGGCATCTGAACAAAAAAGTGAAAATTGCTGATTGAGAAATCTTCAAAAGATCTCAGGTTTTGTCAAGAGATCTTAGGTTTGCTTTGATATTCATGTATAAAACTGTACAAGTCAAAATGTCATTTGATATCCATCATCTGTAATTAGTAAGTTCTTTTTCACATAAACTGGCCAAGCAACACCATACTATTTCTGTGAGACTGGTCCAGGGTTACGTTAATTAGACTTTAACCCTTCCGGACTGCGTAAGCCCTGCACGGGTGTTTGCTTTTTCCTGCTAGAGAGTTGAGCATTGCTGTATTACTTTTCGTATTTCTGCTCGTTCCATTTGTTTTCTGATTGTGGTGACAGAAATTATTTTTACGGGGCAACTTGCCCATTAGGAATTCTTTACGATTAGGAATTCTTTACGATGAGGGAAGTGGTTCAAGATCTTTTCAGCTCTTAAGATGAGTGCACTTTGAAAAACTACTCCTTAGAAATGAGAGATTTAAAAGTTGGTTTCTTAGAGGGTATCAAAGAGAAGAGATAAGACAACTTACAAGTGCGTCCAGCTGCTCTTTTGAGCACCAGCTCGTCAGGCGACTCAAACAGCAGCACCAGGTCGATGCCGCTGACCGGTGGGGGAGGCTCCTTGGGCGGGTTGGGGTCTGGAGCCAGCCGACTCTGCCTCAGCTTGCTGCGGGAGGGCTTGGCATTAGCATCATAGCCACTCAGCGCCTTCTCCAGGAGCTTTGCCTGAGCCAAGGTGGCTGGGAAGCCATCCATGATCCAGCCATGCTCCTCAGGGGTTCGCCTGGGGGGGGGTGGAAGGGAATATTGGCATGATTGGCTGGTCTGTGTGATTGATCCCCGAGCAGTTGGCCAATGACTTCCTTTACCTTCAATATCACATTTTTCGTGGAAAGACAGAATTTTAGTAACCAACAGCACAGTACAATCAACATATTCTGCAGATCAACCAATCTCTTACGACAAGAACTCTTGAAGGACAAAAAAACTTTAAACAGAGATTGATTTCATGCATTTCGACGAGGCTAACATCCAACTTTGATCAAGGTCTTTTTCTGTGATTATAAAGATGAACAAAGAAATTGACTGGAGCGGGATTTTAACCTGTCACCTCTGGAATACCGTACCGGTGCTCTACCAACTGAGCTATCAAACCATATGTTGGTGGCTCTTCCCATTTGTCAGTATATCTGTTTGGGGGTGCTAGTCAGAAGCCATTACACCTGAAACACCATGTAACCAGGGATCGCACCCCAATTACACGATACAACCTGGGAAGTGGTGAACAGGGATCACTCAGAGATCTTTCAAGTCAAGTTCTTTTTTCAATAATTATGATGTAAAAAGCACCAATTTCACACAATTATTATCAAATGCACAGTAAAATAAAGACATCAAACAACAATGTGGTTGAGCTCAAGGCATGCAATGGCCCCACGGCAGGTAGGTGCCAAACAACCCACATCACAGCCAGAAACTGTAATTGTTGACTTTTTATGGAATAAATTGATCAAGAGTCCATTTCCGCCAAGTTTTTGGAAACCTTTATTTTTATGAACCGTGATTAGATATCACATATGCTCAGCTGATTTTCTCCACAAGTTGTTAGTATGTAATACCTATTCGCTTCTGAAGATTCAAATTCTTTATTGTAAGAACTTTCTGACTATCCATACAGGCAGACAAGTTTGATTTTCATGCAGTCCGAGATAAACCTAACTTACTTGACGGCCTCAACCATGATGTCAATCAGGAGCTCATCTTTGACCGGTTGGCCTTTACGCAGGAACTTGGAGGCCAACTTGCCTAGCTTAGCTCGAGCTGTGGGCTGTCGAGGAACAAGAGAATGACCCCAGCTGTTAATCCCTGAGCAGAAACCTACAAACCCACTGAAACACAGAGTTACAAACTTGTTGGGGGATGGACGAAGAGCACCTACAAATCCCTACTTTATGAAGTAATCAAATTGCCTACCTCCGGTTTGGGCGGGCCCTTCTTCTTTGTTGGACTGGGTGGCTTCTTGACTGTCTTGACCTCGCTGCTTGGTGCCTCTGGGGGCTTATCGGTTGCTTCTCCTCCCTCCTTAGCAGTGTCCGGCTTGTCGTCTTCCACTTTTAAGGAAAAATGTAACAGCATTGTAACACACCTACTTGCATACTTTTCCATACATCCCATCTTGACTATTTTGCCTTTGAGAAGACGTAGTAAGGATCGTGTCGTCAGGCTTTTCATAGCTTGCCAAGTCATATATTTTAGATCGTGAATATACTTGAAATGCTTTGTCTGGGGATTTTGCCATGAAACCAAACGCTATTCCTCTGCTTCTACTTCCGAAATAAAATTCTCCATTCACCTCAAAATTCAAAATAATTCCAAATCAAAGCAAACAGCCCCCTCTACAGATGGTTTAGAGCATTAACACCTCTTGTAAAGAATAAGGATCTGATGTATCATGTAAGCAGTGACAAAAGGCAAAGAAACAGACTAAAGACGTGTCATTTATCTCTGGGCAATGAATGAGTAGTCCTAAGAGTGCAAGCTCTGAAGACGGGATACCAACCTTTCTCCTTGCTGTCTCTAGCCTCAGGGATGGATGCCGCCGTGTTGACAGTAGCTGGTACGACATGGACAGCAAACAAATTGAGAACATTTATAAATGTGCAAAATATGCAATGGAAATTACCCACATGCTCTTCCTGCCAAACAGTGCATTTGATTGATTACTTCCCCTGCGTTTACTCAAGGCGTTGTCACAGGTTGAACAGGGCAAAAATGGTAGCGGTTTAGACAGGAAATCTGTAGTAATACATGAACGATCTCCAGTTGCTCTGGCCTCAAATCACGAGCCTTAACTGGGTCAAGGGGCCATACAGTGACTTGAACTGGCCAAATTAACTTTAATTGTCGAAAGTCAAGGCCATCCATCCACCGAACTTACTTCAGCTAAATGACTACGTGGACTTTTTACCAACGGTGGCACCAACTTTCCATTGTACTGTCCGACTTAAATTTGCACTGTTTTTGCATTGCATTGTGGGACACCTTCCCAAGTAATCAACTCAGTGGGGCAGTTAATTGGGCCAGGCCCAACCACGCATGAGATGTCATGTGAGTGTCAAATGGAGCGCAGTCGCACTGGCGAAAGTAAGCACAGTCGAACACAGTAAAATAGAATTGTGCCAGTTGCTATTAAGTGAATACACACAGCATCTGCAGCTGCAATATTATTATTGCAAGGTTGTGGCTCAGTGCATTCTGTAATGTGGGCTTAAATCTTGCTGGGGGACACAGTTTACAGAACGCAAGATTTACTGTGGTGCACATTTTTGTCCTCAATGGCGGCTTGAGCTTACCATCTCCAGGGGTGCTCAGTTGTCCAGAGGGACTTTCAACTGTAGCAACGGCTGCTGCTGGCGGCTGGTCCCCTCCAGCTCCCTCCACTGGCTCCACCTCCTGCACAAAATGGAACAAGCTTATTCAGAATACGGTCATGGTCAGCATTTTGCTGTAGTAAATGCAGTTTGAGTTCTGTCAAAACGAGAGGCAGTGAGGTGCGCGAAATGTAAATACATCACGCCTACATTCAGTACACGAAGCGAGGGCTCAACACTAGTCAAAGGATGATGTCACAAAATCCTTCTATCACTGGCATTTCTGACTTTTTCAGGCCACGTCCAATGTAGACAGATTGTTTCCGGCTGTGAAAAACCACACTTGGACCCTATTTCAGTGACCAGTTAACAGTTAAGCTTTAGTGGAAAGTACTTTTTCACCGCCTTACTTGCCAAGCAAGAATCTTCTGAAAGTCAGTCATGAGCACTACAAGCTAATACATCAAGGGACTTGTGACCTACACAGGTCAAATATTTCTGTGCTCAGCCACTCAATTTAAAGGGGGCGGGAGACAGTTCCTACCGAAGGTGCAAGCCTAACGACATGATACTCACTGTTGGTGCAGGCGGGGGTATGTCCATGACTTCACCGTCTTTGTATGCATCAACTGCATCACGGACAAGCTCGTCAATGTTCAGAACAGCGAGGCCATGGTCTGCGGGTCAAAGGGAATGAAAAACAAAGTCCTGTTGACACGGTGGAACAAACACATTGCTCTCTGATAGACCTCTGTACTGTTGGTGTTACACTACACTTCTATGTGTACTTGCTATGTATGGAGCCAGTGGGAGTCCACTGAACACCACAGAAAAGCACATACGTAAACAAAGAATAGCCTCCTCAGCGCTAGGGTCTATAATCCGTTAAAGAGAACTTGTTTTCACTCTTTCCATTTGCTTTCAATGATGTTTCATCCACTGGTGCAGGACGAGCCTCAACATATGAAGGGTGACAGACGACTAAGATGGAAAGCTTGCGGTAAGCACCATGCAATATCTCTTTTTGAGTCTGTATGGTTCTGATAGGAGCCTCTCCGGTTCTTATCAGAACCATACAGACTCAAAAAGAGATATTGCATGGTGCTTACCGCAAGCTTTCCATCTTATATGAAGGGTGCTTGGTTTACTGGATATCTCCTTTCTGCTACATGAGACTTTGTAACTTGTACAACTTGTAGGTTGCACCTACCCTCAGCGAGCTTGGAGGCTACGGTGGATTTTCCGGTGAACGCTTTCCCCAGGAAACAAGCCTTGACTGGGAAGGGTGGAATCTCTGGAGCTGCTGGTGGGGGCTGATGGCAAAATGTAGCATAAAAACCAACTCATCATCGACAATCCAATTTAAAGATAGCAACAGTTCACATCGTCAAATTGATAAACAACGTTAAGATTTTGCTCCTCCAATCTAGAAATCTTTGATCTGATTTCAGCCTTCCATTGTTTCATCATTCCGTACAGCAAGAGGCCACAGTGCACACCTACTGAAAAAGTTTTCCTTTTCATTTTTTTCTTTCTGAGTAAGGTGTCTTGCATGGGTTTCAAGCAACAGCAGCGCTCTTTGAAGTGAAAACCTGACCACACCATAACAGTAGGACTTTTTCATGGGAGAAAGATGCAGGTTCCACAGTAGCATTTACAAATGGAGAAGCACGAGGTCCTTAAACCACAGAGCCAAATAAAAATCTCCAATCAAGCGCTGGTAAAATTCTGTCTTCTCGCATTAAACACACAAACTATTATGAATATGAAAACAGTGGCTGAGTTCGGGCGGCTTGTTCTCATATGTTCACGAACAGCTTGATTTATTGTTCTTGGGTCAGCCGCTTGAAGCGGTTATCGCTGGTAGTTAGTGACGAGCAACATGCAACATAGTGGCATCCATGTACGTTATTCGAGAGTTAATGTTTGGATAACTGGGCTGAACTCTTTTCTGTTTAAACAGGAACATTCATTTCTGTGTTGTGGAGAAGAATTAATGATACTTTTGCAAAACTTCCTATTGTCTCTGGCTTTGTAAGCCATCACTCTACTTTTTGCAATGTTTGCACTTGTTTAAAAATCAAAATCTCACGAGTTTTTCCGTGTCTTCTAAAACTCTCCAAAAAGTAAGAAGCAAGAATACAGTCAGTGTTGTAGTCGAGACCATCACATGACCAGACACAACCATTCGCAAGACCAGATATAAGACCAGACGAGAGGACCGGTCACGAGTAACGGGGTGAACAGACAAATGCTTCTGTTGCAGTTCAATTGCACAGCTTGAGGTCTTGTGTTGGTCTTGTGATGGTCTTGTGGGTCTTGTGTTGGCCTTAACAGGTCTCCTCTACAACACACTGATTACAGTGAGGAAAAGAAAGTGAAAAATGGCTTACCGTTGGCGGTGAGACAATGTTGAAGATACGGGCTAAGATGTGGCCCAGTATGGCGTTGCTCTTCTGAGGACCCTTGATGTCGCAGTCTGCCGGTATCTGCCACTCACCCACCATGTTCTGTACATCACGACAAAGTTGGGGGGAGGGGGCAGATTATTAAAGGTGCCACCTTGCTGTGCTGTTGCCGAAGCAGCAATGAAAGTATAGGCTATGACACAGTTTCTTAGGGTTCCTTAACATAGACTAAAGCATAACATTGGTGGTAGATGAACTCATCTTGCATTAAGTAGAACAAGTTTGCTATTTATTTCTTACACTGCATATTCACATGTTGTACTGTACTCCTGAAAGTTTTTTGTCAAACATGAAGTTTTGATTGGGAAAACAGTAACACAAAAAATTCCAAACTCCAGAGATAGCCATCTATAAAAGTGTCACTGGCTGACCTATTAAGAAAAAAAGGCCTTGGACAGTGAACCAACACTTTTTCAGGTGAATACGTTGATGAGCTCGACACCACTCACCCTGTACTCCAAGAAGTCACCTTCGTCCAGCAATGCCTGCCTCTCCTTCTCCACCAGCTGGTCCTCTGCAGATTCCACTGGTTCCTCGCCCTGTCCTTCCTGTGATAGCGGGGACATACGGAGGTGAACTCAGCGGAGAGTTTGGTCAAATGTAAACAAACGTGCACCCTGCCCCCTGCACTGAACTTTGTGAAAAGCCTAGCATTCTGTAATGGCAGCGATGAATCCCCTGCTAGAGAGAGTATAAGACATAAGATAAATGGGTCTTTGTAAGAACTGAAACTTACAATCGGTTTCTCGTACAGAGGCTGACCAGTGCTGAACAACATTTTCCATTCTCTCATCAGTTTGGCTGGAAGTTGTCTGTTCAGGAAATGAAAGAGAACAACAATGATAATATAATTTGATGCTAACTTTTAAAACAGTGGGAACAATATGAGCTTGTGAGCTTGCAAAAACATAAGACAATGCAAGAAATTGTGCGGTTGCTTTATTGACTTCAGACCTGTACCTGGGATATCCCACGATTTGTAGATGTTTCCTAAAAATGGGTTCAATGAAATCTACTGTTTCAAATGGATGAAACTGTAGGGTTAACTCAACCTTGCAAACTGCAAGATCCAACAGATGACACTATCTGGCAGATCTCGTGGATATGAGCAGTCGACGAAAGACACTTTGACCTTGTAGTTCTGATGGATCCTGAGGGATTTCTTCCATCACAGCTTTTAGCTAAACTGGTGAAAATAGCTCGCTGCTGGTGAAAGGGGACTCAATTTCCTCAGAAGAGGTTTTATTGGGAACAAAATGTTACACTCGCTAACTTTTAAAGCTCTGTGTATATCAGCTCATTCCGGTCATCAGTTGGTAAAATTTGCAGCAGCTTTTTGTTGAATATATCTTGTACGTTTTTTTAAAAACTGAACAGCAACCTTACTTTTCAGTGAGCTCCCGGTATTTGCCGACTTTACAAGACAGGTCCACCAGGTCCAGCAAGATATCCTGACAGATGTTGTATCGCTTGAGGTACTTGGCCTCAGCCCGCTCCTGGGCAATCTTGTCGTGAAGCTCCTTGTCTTGCTTTGTCTGCTCGATGTACTCCAGCTTGGCTAGCCGAGCTAGCTCCTGAGATAATAAACAACACCGAGAGTCAAGTCGAGATATAGTAGTGCTCAGAGCTCAGAGTAATAAATTGAAAACGCCAATAATAAACTGCAACTGTTTTTCCTTTTTCTGTAGAACATTTGAAGATGCTGGTCTAGGTGGAAAGAGAAAATCTCAATTTTATGTTTGGGATGAAAATGCTGGTGAGCACAAGGAAAGGAAAGGAATTGCAGTTGGACATGTCCGATGTTCTGTTGCTTCTCTGAGGAAATCAGAAAAGAAATTCTTAGGCGAAGGGCAAAACATAGAAAAAGGTCTTTGTCCATAGCTGGCTGGTTGAGTCTGAGGAATATCAAGACTACTGGTCATTGATATTAGAATGTGGATTCAAATCCAGCCTAAGTAAGCTTGTAAAACGGTGGACTGTGGTGACGTATGTTCCAGAAGGCACTGAAAGCAGTGCATAAGACGTTTAGACCGGTAACAGGCCAAACCCAGTCTCAAGACTTACGGCTTCCTTGTCCAGCGCCTCCTGGAAATCCCTCTGGCGCCGCTCCTCATACTGCTGCTCCCGGAAGATGCGGTTCTGGCAGATGACAGCCTTCTCATGGCGCAGCTGCAGCAGCTGGGTAGCAATGCGGCGCTCCTGCTGGGACTGCCGCATCAGGCGGTTCACCAGCATCTCCTCCCGGCGGGCCTCCTGGGGAGACGAAGGTGGACGAGAAGGCGACGTCAGGAGACAATATGAGCTTGGATTCATCTTTGGTTCAATCACCTCAACCATTTCAAAACCTTCATGGTCCACTTCCTGGCTTCGTGAGATTTTCAAAGATTTGGTACTATTCAGCCCAGACAGCCTTCGTTTATATCATGATGTTCTGATTTTATTTAAGTGCAAAGAATGTGCTATGAGCACTGGATATTAGATTCAGGCAGATTCCAACATGACTTAATGCATGGCTCAAGCAAATACAGTGGATACCGCATGCATGGGGTGACCAGTTACTGAAGATCCTTACTCAGATCAAGCTGCAAGAATGCACAGTAACCCAACATTAGACTTTCAGTCCTTTCATAAATTTTAGTGTTAAGATAGAATCAATGGAATGTCTCAATGACTCCTTTTAATGAATTCTAAAAGTTTGAGGAATGTTTTGGGTTACTTCTCTCGCAATTTTGAATGAAGCATCTGTTTAGTGTGTCATGGCGTGTCCTGGTTAAAATATTCGGCTGTGCTTGGCAGCCCCATGAAATTCAGAATCCTGATTCCGTACCTCCTGCGCATCGTGTGCCTTGAGCTGATCCACTAGCACTTTGCGCCGTCGTTTCTCGCGTTCCTGCCGAGCGGTGGCATCCTCCTGAAGCCGCTTCCTGATCTTGCTGATGTACTCGTCGTTGGATGCCGGCTGCATGGGGAAGTGAATGTAATCCAAAAGCTATTTGAATAACTCAGAGCGCTGGCCCACAGAACTGGCTTTTCAGGCAAATTATATACCTCAGCACTTTATGATTTAACAAATGAGTCCCTTTTGGAGAGCTGAAAATATTTAATCTGGAGAGATGAGGCCTGTTCATGCTTAGCACAAAAGCGATCACAACTGAAATTCTGTGACATCAGATCGAATACTTGTGCTGCAAATTTGCAGTGTTGAACGCATTTTGGCTCAAGGGAATTTCACAGCAAAGGATTTCTGACGTCCAATTCGTTTTGCTTTTGCATCTACCTGAAGTATGAACAGGCCATGAAAAGATTACAAAATGTACCATAGACTAATTCAGGGACAATAATATGAGGATTCTACTTGAGTGGCACCATTGTTACGTCAAGGCAATTTAAACGCCTCTTTGACTAACAGGGTGTTATGTCCTCCACGCCCCTGCCAAATGCATGCACCCCTCGGGTTGGACAGCATGTGCAGTACCACGGTGAGAGGATGCCACAGTAGTCGTGGCGTTTCCAGTGATTGGTCTACAAATTCACAAAAATACCATCAGTGAAACATGAAAATCCGGGCACGTTACCCTGATGAGCTGCACCAACTCTGGCTTGGCCTTTTCTTTCTCTAGCTGCTGCTGCTGAAGATAAGTAGCTACTTCCTCATCGGCATCCCTGAATTGGAACCAAAAATCTTGCTGGTATTTTGCGGGCTTTTTAAGAAAAAAGTGTAACACAAAATCTGTCGATTTCTCAGTGTAAGTTTGTGCAAAAGATATGAAATTCTCAAGTTCATTAGATACCCTCAAATTGATGCAGTATTTATGGCATATATAATTTCGTTTGATTAAATGCGCAAGTGATGAGAGCTTTATTATATATATAGTCATTTGCAAAAGTTTAGGACCACGCGTAGAAAATGCATTAACCTGAAGGAAAACCAAACTGAAACCAATCAATCATGGCAACTTATGTTTATTTTCAATGTGTAACCTTGGTACCTTGGTTGAACATTTTTGACTACATTTCCATGATTTGACATGTTAACAGTCTAATATTCAGTGTGCCCTCCCTTTTTTCTGATTGCTTAGACTGACTTTTATTTAACCCTGCTGCCTTGCAGACAAAATGTCATACAAGACTTGCCTTTGCAAAAAATTTCATTCAAATGGGTATACAGCACTACACTGATGTTATGCACCACTGTAAAAACATGTTAAGTAATCATTCAGTGAGACAGTGTAATGCAGGCCCAGTGACAGAAATACCAATAAAATTCAAGGTGGTCTTAAACTTTTGCAAATGACTGTAGTGCATTGAAGAAAATGTAATCATAATACATGGGTAACAGTTTTGTATCACTGGGCAATCTTCAATCTTTATAACATAATATTCTACAGGAAACTTCTCCTCTTGTACAGAACATAATCAGACTGTAACCAGAAATCTGTAACTAAAATGACTCATCACAAATCCAGTTCATACCTGTCTTCTTGCGTCATGTTCAAGGAGCGACTGAGTTGGTTCTCAAACTCGGCAATCTGTCGCCTCATCTCCGACGCTTCTCGCTTCAAGGCGGCATCTCGTCGAGCTACAATGGCCTTCAACGTCTTGTTGGGTGGTGTCTTAGGCATCTCCACAGTGGCTGCCCTGGAAGGAGAGGCATGATTACCACACAGAGTTGAAGTACAGGCAACAGTAAGGAGTTTCGGAAGCAACATTTGTGGCCAACAGCACATGCTCAGGAAAGTTTAACTTGGATAAAAAGTCAAATCCCAGTGCTCAACAAAGGTCATATCCACATTTGTTTATCAAAATCCCATTAACGGTAATGGTTTATTTTGACGATGAACTAATTTTGTAAAATGATGTCAATTTTAAGTTTGGAATGGCAATTTGAGGTTTTTGATGACACAGAAGTGAAAACATGCTGTTTGGTCACATTTCTATTCCAGCTCATTTAAAAAGCTTCACGTTTGACAGGATACGTCCCGTCTGTAACGGACAGTCCCTCAAGTCCCAATGTCAGAGAGCATTTCAATGAGAACATTGCACGTGCCTGAATGGAAAAAGACGTCTGTGCATATGTGTGTTAAACTCTGAGGCGAATACAGGGGAGAATGGGAAACACACAACATTGACTGAAGGAGCGTTCTGCATTTCACGTATTAACCAACACTCACTTGATCCTGGCCACTAACTCGGTCTGCCTCTTCCGGGCGTCAGCTGCCTTCTGCAGCTCCCGCAGCCGCTCGTCCTGCTGCCACTCCCGCCTCTTCTCCTCCTCCTCGTAGCGGGTGCGGAACTCCACGTCCAGGTGCTGCCGCTTGCGCTCCCGGAACTTCTCCACCAGCTGGTCCAGGTTCAGGTCGGTCTGGCGGGGAGTCAGGACCTTCAGACGCTGTTGTGAAAGGAAGTGAAGGGAGTAAGCCACTTGTAACGATACAAGTGATACGGCTTCTGTTAACACATTGGACCACCAAAATTTGTGGAGTGTCCATAAAAACATTTTGTTGACCACTCTCATTTTGCTTGCAACTTGTATGGGCGGCCAAAGTTTGCAGAAATGTCACCTTTTGGTTGGTTTTCGAGTTTACATCCAATTCGTTCAAAATTGACATTTGTGCCATTAATTTGAAATAGGATTGTATTTTTCCTTTAGAATTAAGTAATATTAGTACATGTATGTGTATTATTATCCAGTGTTCTGATAGCTGCATGGGACTTTTAACACTTTGTGAATTATTCTTTAACTTTGCACCAATGGCCAACCATAGTTTTAGCAGCCACTTGTAGGAAAAGCACCACTGTGACCTTCAAACGAGCAGACCCTATAAGGGGACACCTTAATAAAAGAGTTCCGTTTGTCATTCAAAGCCAACTGATATGCTCAAGGCAGGTGAAGTGCACATCTTCAATCCGCATAAAACCATATTTGCACCAATATCCTTTGCCACTACTTGCTGTCAATGAATTCCAGTGTGGATATGGTGATAAGAGGGCTCAAGGATCTTTTTTTCTGTTATTCCCACTTCTGCCACTATAGGTTAAACAGCGTGTGCTGGCCTACCTCTTTGTAGGGACCTCGCTCTAAGCTCTCCAGCTTGACCGGAGCCCGCGCCCGCATGGTCTCCATGGCCACGCCCGTCAAGTTGGCCTGCCTCTTGTTGTGCAGGGCGATGTAGAGCTGGTACATGAGCCGGGTGGCCACACCCGGCTGCTCCTGCATGACACCATGGGCCGTGTTGGTGTCAAAGGGCACCTCCAGCAGATGCAACGTGGGCTCCAGTCGGGTGAAGTTATTGAGCTTGGAGTCTGCCGTCCTGAAAAGATTACCACATTTTTAAAGGTTTTTTATTTTTCAAAAAGTGCTTGAAAAGTATTAAAGGAACACAAGTTTTTCCACCAACTGTCCAAGAAAGCTGCTTACGTACAGGCTGTATCAAATGAATTTGAAGCTTTCATCCAAGTAATAAAAATCAACGACAGGTGGGCTTTGAAATTTAATGTGAATAAAGTTGTTGGCAATCATCCGTCAGGACATACTCCACCAACTGGCTTGGCTGGTTTAGTGTGGGGAACGTGACGCATCAGCATCTTGGTAGCAGCACAACACAGTTCGCCCTGGTTCAAAGCCAACTGAAGTTTCAAGCCAAATATTTACAGACGACTGCTTCTGGCTTTGCAATATTTAACTAATATTACATTGGCAGTGGCACTTGAATGAAACCAGTTATGTGGAATTTGTGACACAGCCACTCTACACTCTCTACCTTGACTGCGAAAATGATTCAAAGTCTTCTTGAAGGTCATATTTCTTGAGGACTTCTCCGATCAGATAACCAGATGCAAACTTCTCAGCAAAGTTTTTCTGATCTAAAAAAGGCAAAAAAGCAAACAAACTGAACTGAAACTGGTTCTCTACTGAAGCAATTATTACATGTAGGCCTAAACACTTAAAAATTCAGCCGAGTGTCCCTAATGTGGGACACTTGAAAAAATCTCTGAAAATTCCATCTGAACATTTACAAAATGATTTGAGGTTGATAGCTTCTTGTAAAGCATTATTACTTCCACACAAATACCCATCAACATGTCTGTCAGAAAATTCTTTTCCTATTTTTCAGCACATAGCCTAAAAGAGTTCATTTCGCACTCAAAAAAAAATCAGACAATCAGGCAAGTTCATCTGAACTTTGTAGCAGGTAGGGCCTACATAAAATTGAGATTTATGAATCAGAATACAGGCCTAGGCCTAAGGAGTTTGATGAAGTTTTGCTCATTGCGAAATTTGAGCTAAAAATGTTGTGCATTAAGACACAAGAAGTGAAAAATGAAAGTGCGTCTACATCAACAATACTATACTATAGCCTAGGATCTGCAGAGGGCCTACATGTATTGTAGGCCTACATGGTTCTTGTAGCCTACATGGCATAGGCCTATGATAGTCACTCACAGACTTGAGTGTGGAGGCCTAGGCTACTTTTTCTGTAAAAAAAAAAAAGAAACATTGCTAAGGAGGCCTAGGCATCTTTGATTAGAAGTGACGCGATGGAAATGGGCCAAAGTGGGAACGAGGCAAAATGATGATGGGGCGAGTCGAAGTAGGGATCCGGGATGGAACGAAGTGGCTGCGGGTTTGCGGGGCGAAGTGCTACTGCTAGCTAAGCGCTAAGCAATGGAGCGAAGTGGGTCTTACTCAGTCTTGTACCGTCCCGACAACCGAAAAAATTGTGCCGCACGCTTACCTACTGGCTGCGAAATGCCCAGGTCGGAATTGAGCCAACGGCACAAAATCTCTGTCATCTTAGTAGCCTTATTCAATCAAATACCAAATAACATTAAATAAAGATAACATTCTGTCACAACGTCATAACTGTGGGTAAAAACTCTGAGCGAAATTTCACTTCATAGGCCCTAATATCCTTCCAACGATAAACATCAAAGTTCGTACGGTCACGTTCTAGGCAACGGTGTTTGTTCGTGTGACGTTACACCTCGCTCCAGTAAATAGTATTCAAGTCTCTTTCAATCTTGTAACTTTTTATGGACGTAATGGAAATTTATTTATGGAATAACATCACACAAACCAAAACTAATATTCTAATTAATTAATACAATTATTTCGTTTCTTGAATAAGAGTATTTTTAAGAATTAGAATGACCCTGAATTTATGGGAAATTTTTCAAACGACTTAATCTAAAGACTAAGCATAATTTTATGTCTGGTACCCGACTCCTTGCAGTGCATTCCTGGCTGGCTGAAAGACTGGTGGCCAGAATAGGTCCAAAGCTTGCAGACGACATATCGGACGGACCGACAGTTGGGGCATAACACATCGAAAACTTGGAAGCCTACGGCATGTACGGTGACTTTTGGCGGGTTTTTCTAAGTTATACACTCTGAAATATGACGAAACTCTCACTTTAATTAAAACATGGACGGTAGGTGAATTCTTCAGATTTCAAAATTCGTCAAAAATTCCACACACAGACAAAAAAAAAAATCACTTTTTTTCATGCAAGCACCATGCAAATCGCAAGCCAATGCTAACCCAGTTCCAGGTAGGTGGACTCCCAGTCCCCAGATCGTAGGCGCCTACATCATACATGTGTACGAAACGCAGACGTAATGCCTATGTCGAACCTGGGCTGATGCCATGTATGCTGCTGTAGACCTAGGCCTGGAAAGACGTCAGAAAGCAAAAACATGTAAAGAAAAGTTCAATTTAGGAGGGATTCGAAAACACATAGCATGCTCACCAGTAAGTCTTAATGATGGGTTTGTACACAGGATGTCAAGTGGCGTCCGTGTATGGAACCCTTTTCCTAGGCCTAAATCTGCCATCACTCAGAAAACGATAGGCTTAGTTATGTCCCATGGCTTCCTCTTTACATTTTATTTCATGTAGCCTGTCGATACTTTAAGCACAACCATTGAACCAATGATCAGTTAGGCTAGTCTAATCAAATATAGGGGCCTAAGCATGTGTATTAATTAATTATTTTAAGGCCTAGACCATGCAGACCTATATCTATGTGCTTCGGTTGATTTTGCTTGAAAACAATCTCATCAGCCAACAAGGAGGGTGATATTTGTCTTTGCAGCACAGCTTGGTAAAAAGGCTTTAGAATAGGCCTGGCACACTTTCCCAAATTGAAAAGTGAGCTAACTTGAAATATAATTCTCGCAGTTGGCATGATTTCACTACAGACTTTTAACACGCGGCAAAGGGGCAAATTTCCCCTTTGTGCCATTCAATAATGTACAGAAATTCCTAGATGCCCGACCGCGAGAATGAGTATTTCTTTATTTAATGCAACTTAACATCATAATATGTAACTCATTCAGCCTTGACTGTTACTGATATCATAACAGTACACTGCAGTCTTTTACAAGTGGAATAAAGTTTAGAATTATTGTTGGTGATTTTGAATGTCGGTATGTCATGCAGTACTTATGCAGCTGTGGTATGTAACAAGAATAGTGACTGTTAAAGCCTAGGTACTTCAATTAGCAAAAAACTGTAATAGACCTAGTCATTAGCGTGTCTCTTTTTCGTTTCCGTAGATTCCAAAAAGAGAAAATTGGATTCAGATGATGAGCCCGAGAAACGTGTGGTGAAGGAAGGCATGTCGTGGTGGATGTGCTTGATGCTGGGCATGAATAATGAGAACAGTCGTCCCCAGGCAGTCCCTGTCAAGCAACAATCCCGTGCCAAGTGCACTTCCCAGTCTGCGGCTGAAATGTCAGCAAACAGTATGACCTCATCCCATCCATGATACGGGCTGATTTACCAAGAAACACTTTCTTACGTTTTAGCTCAGTCATTTCATCATGTTTACTGCTCTTAATTTTATGCTGGTGTCCAGCCATGTCTGCCGAGGAGGACTTTGTGGATTGTGAGACGTGCCTGGCCCAGAAACCCACCGAGCCGCTTGCCAGCGATTGCTGCGGCACGGGTTGTAACCCCTGCGTGTTTGACTTGCATGAGACAGAGCTGGCAGCATGGAGGAAGTCTTGCAACAGGTGTCATGTAGGCGGGGCACAGACAGAGCACCGAGAGCCTGCTGAAAATAAACACCAGGTCTGTGGTTTTATCAAGGTTGATGGAGTCATTGGAGTGATTCCGTTTGAGTTTCCTCATAGGATACAATTATAAATTACATGGATTGGTACCACAGAATAGATTATTACAAGTTCCACAATTACACTAAATTAAAAAGTACCTTGAAATCTGAAACAAAAGTGTTAATAAACCTCTGGGCACTGCATTTACAGTTGTCAAAGTTGTCATCAATTATGCTATGTGCTTCGGCCACTCTTGAAGTCACAAAGTTATTTCTTAACCTAATGGAAAGGAATAAATTTGATGAAGCGTTTTACAGAATCCAGGAATGGATTGCAGGAATGGACCAAAACTTGTAAACTCATCCCAAATATTGTGGAAGGTTTTAGTTGACGAGGTATTTGGCTTAATTCCTGATCAAGGGGATCCAACAAAAATTATTCAGCACTCGACTTCTTACAGAGTGCTGGCAGCAGCAACCATCTCTGAGAGAAGTACGTTTCCACTCCAGATTCTCACAAAAGAATATGGACTTCCTTAGTCGTGATACTCATTGCAAGGCCTACAACGGTTACTATGTGCTACATACTTCACATTTGGAATTACTGTCTCACAGACTCAGTATTCAGTGTGGGGGGAGGCATGTGTCCTGATGATTAGGGTTTGTAGCTTTTTGATCGTAGGGTCAGGGTTTGAATCCAGCTGGTGGCAGCATGTGAGCTTAGGCAAGTCACTTTACCCCTATGTGCCCCTTTCCACCCAGGAGTAAATGGGTACCTGTGAGGGCAGACACGGTCATGTTTAGCTGTTTGCGCTGAAATGGCAGCATCGGGCTAGTATACTCCCCAGGGAGTTGGGAAGCTTTCAGGAATGTTCAGATGATGTGAGCCCAATGTGCAGGGATTGTGATTATTCATTTGTTTGAGATTTCTCTTTTTCTTCTTTACTACGTAGACGTCAAGTTATCAGGATGCGTTTAGCCCTGATGAGTACCGATCCTTCAAGTTACAGAGCGCGAAGAGAGTATCCCATGATAGCGTCATCTATACATTTGTCCTGCCTGGCAACAGTCAAGTCAATCTTGGTGTCGGCCAACACATAATACTCAGGTGCAGTGACACATGGTGCATCTCGAAAGTTGGCAGTGTTTGTATTCCATTGGACCGTTCCCTTTGGAACTCCTTAGGTAGCGTTTCATCAGAACATTCCGGCATTGGAGTGGTCCACTCCGTGCGTGATCGTTCTGAGGCAGTGTTCCCATGGGAACGCTGCGCTCCCAGTTATGGCCACCCGTTCCAGAATGAGAGCAAGGCAACCCTTTTGACTCACGAGATGCTATTCCCTCAAACTACTCGTGCACTGACTGGCATAGCTTACTCTGTCACTGTGAAGTTTAAGCGCCTTTCTTGTCTATCAACCTTGGAAACTTTTAGCTAAAAACCAATTTTTCAAATATTGGTCCCTTTTCTTTGCCATCTCTGTTCTTTTTTTTTTTTATTCGGGTAGGGGTGCTGTGAATGGTAGATCCATCACACGGCAGTACACGCCAATCAGCCCTCCCGGAACAAGGAACCACTTTGAAGTTCTCATCAAGGTCAGTTTCGCAAAGAGCATTCATTCAAGTCATCATACATCAAAATTTTCTGACGGTTTCAAAATGTCTTCTTTAAATTGGTTTCAAGTGTATATTCGCAGATCACCTCAGAGACTGGTTTCCTTAGAATGCTGTTCCACTGGCAAAGGATATTTTTTCCCCCCCCAGATTTACAAAGATGGTTCCATGTCTCAGTACATCAAGCAATGGAAAGAAGGAGACAGCATAGAGTGGCGAGGCCCGTATGGAACTTTCTCTTACCAACCCAATCAGGTAGTCGCTCAGAATCGTTGACAAATTTTTTATTTTGCAGACCGCCTTTTTTTACCTAATATTAATTCATTTCTCTTAGGTAGTCTTGTTGGTAATTTTGCCTCGGGGACAAGTGAGGGTATTCCCTTCTTTAAAACTGGAAAGAGATTGGCACCTTCTGTTGGGACTATCGGCACTCTTCAAAAGTGTAGATTTTGCATCACTCTTATTTTGAGAGGCACACCTTGATTGATGAGGCTGTGTTGCCATTTTATCATTTTTATTGACTGTCTGAAAATTCCCAGCCTTGGACAATGATCGTTGTTGGTGTTTGCCAAGAAAAAAAGTTCCTAATGGTGAAATATTTTTCTAGGTGTTTCTGTTTTTCTTCTTTGCAGTGTCGCCGTGTTGTGATGCTAGCAGCCGGCACCGGCATCACCCCGATGCTTCAAGTCATCCGACACATCGTCACCGATGACAACGATGAGACGTTTGTTCACTTGGTGTATGCGAGCCGAAGGTATGAAGATATACTCTTGCGAGAAAAGTTGAACGAGCTGACGGCTTTCTGGAACTTCACCGTCTTGTATGCGCTGAGCCAGGTAGGTTTGGATTGCTCAGGCATGAGATTGAGTGGTGTGCTCATACCTGTTGGCTCTGTGCTGGAACTGTTGTGTTGTGCCGAATGGCTGGCCTGACTGCAGCTTTGTAGTTGGGACTGATGGTGTAATTGGGATGTAAAGAGACTAGCTAGCACAGTGTGAACACTGATACTTATGCAGCCATATCTGCAGATGCAGCATTTTTCTTTGTTCCATGTTGGAATAAGAGGACCGAGTCATAGTAGTTTTTCCACCCACCTCTATTGTGACCCAGGTTCGAGTGCGTCCCAGGTTGACCAGGGGATTGGATTTTCAGTCTCTTGCCTGATACCGTTGATTTTGTTTTGCTGGAAATATCATTCAACGGTTACCTCTCACCTTGGAAACCCGACCACTTCCCTCCTGTCTTCTCTCTCTGTAGATGTAGGTTCATATTCACACCTGTCCCTCCCTGTTCTTCAATCCTTAGGATGTGCCGGGAGAACATCCCACGTCATATGGAGAAAATTTCCACTATGGCCGCATCAAGCAAGACCTACTGGCGGCTGAGATGGAGACTAGTCCAGAAGCAGAAACCCAGTTCCTCGTGTGCGGTACAAAGTCCTTTGATAAAGACATGATGAATTTTTTGAAAAAGCTGGATTTTAAGGGAAGTGTCTTCAAATTTTGATAAACTTTCAATCTCCCAGATGTACCTACGAAGAAATATTTAGAATTTAATAAAATTTTTCAACATTTTGAAAAGTTTCATTTTTTATACTGATAATAGATAATTTCTGATTGTCATATGCCACATACAAAAATGTGACAGCCACCTTCCTTTGTAACTTTGTATTTAAAATCTTTCAGCATATTTATATTTTTCGTGGCGAAATCCTAACTTGACTAAATTCATTCTAAGTTATGCACTTAAAACATTATTCATAAATACCTCAGACAATCTTCCTATTCAACGTGCAACTTGACCCTGTATTCAAATTTGATTGAAAGCCACTGATTTGAATTGATATGATTTGAAAGCCGCTGAGAAGTGACAATGCCCACTGTGTAAATCAAGCGCTGGCACCTGGACACGAGACAGTTTAGTTGATTCTGATTGGTCTAGAGTCTGTGTGCACGCGGCTCACCACGCGTGCGCCAAGTCCATATAAGGAGACTCTATTAGACAACTTGCACAAGGAATGTACCATAAAGTGGACGGGGGGGTGTTCAGAAAAATGGAAGTAAAATTCTGTAATAAAACCATCGGAAATCCATCATATATTGACTTTTGACTCTCTGACTAAAACAAGGTATTAATGAATGGGAATAACTATGTGCTCGGCTGAATGCTGATAATGCCCTCGCCTGCTGGCTGAGGCATTCGTCAGGTCCATTCTCCTGAGCCGGTCTTAAACGCACGCTAAAACCAGACATACATATCCCCTTAGTTAACAACTTCAAAACCTGGTTTTTAGATGGGGTCATAAATTTTGCTAAAGAAAAAAGAACTTCAGAGGAAATTTGTCCTGGGTTGGTCATGTCCTTAGTTGGAAACCCAACCGAGGACATGACACAATCACACAAACGATGGGAAGTCAGCACAGAACCTCCAAGGGGTTGAGTGCGGTGCATGCACACACCTCTTATGAACTGCTGCCTGCCTTGGACTTTGGTGGCATTTCTCACCAGCAAATCTCGTCGGTCCAGAAATTTTGTGCTGGACTTTCACAATGTAATGGTCTACATGTGGGCATTAAACTTGGTTGTGCAAAGCTTTAGTGGCTTCCACATATCCTTGCTGCAGACAGGGTCAAGTGGAGGAAAGCCATGGGGAAAAAAGCAGGCCAACCAAGCCGTTAAATAAGTACACATGAAAGCAGTGAGTTCAGGGTGATGTACATCTTTTATATTACACAAGTGTGTTGTACCATCTTGAATTTTCGTATCGTATTGTAGCAATGCATGCTTGTTCATAAACATTTTGTTATTAATGTAGTATGGTACAGGGTTATTTCAGAAACTACTACCCTAGTAATATTTCCAAGAACCTTGTCTGCTTCCTAGGCTACGTCCAAAACGGGCACTATACTGGCTACGGCCAACAATGTTGGAGTAGAGTCCATCACAAGTCCAGTCATAAGTAACAGGATGGAACAGCTTGTGAATTGGCAAAGACTGAATGACTTGTGATGGACTTTATACTGGGACTTGTCATGGACTCGAAGACAACACTGATGGCTACTAAAGGCTGCACTCTGTGCCGTGTCATTGGTGAATGGAAGTTGTAGCCAGGCAGAAAGTCAAATTCATGCTCTGTAACAAGCACGTCTATCTTTCCTTGACCATTTCAAGTTGAGACAGAGTAACAACCAAAAACACTTGGGTAGTAATGGCGCAAGTACTGGACCAGACCTCAGGAGTTACAAAAGAATCAAACATGCTCCGTTACATCAACTAGGGCAACGTTTCATTTTGTTAGCATGATAAATTTTCCAGCTGTCATTTAATGAACTGGTGCATCTAGTCATTTTATTTACAAGTCTTTGAAAAGGTACGAAATAAAAACCACCAGTCGTGCTATGCAGGGGCCTGCAAGTTTTGACAATCACTCCACAAAACTTGGCCAGTCTGCTGTAAACTCCATTTGATTGAACTGTTTCAAAATATTTAAGATATTTTTTTTTAGAAAAGTATACACAATTAAAATAAAGACACCACTGAGTGTACTGTACAGTTTTTTGTTCATATCTGGATAAAGGGAAAGATGGAATCTTACACTGGACTCAAGAATGACTGAAATTTGTTTAGCACCAATATAAGTATTTAATAATAAACATTAACAGCCGTTGTCATAAAAAACCTGTTTTTGAGACTTCCTCAAAGGAAAACTACAGTTTTGTGTGAAGCAGGGGGCATATCTACACAGAAACAACATAGATTTCAAACATTTTGCCACAGTAGTGCCCTTGCCTTGGAATAATGCCCCCCCCCCGGTTAAAGTGACAATAAGCACAAATAATCCATTCTAATGCATAAATAAAAACTGCCATCTGTCTTAAGTTAGGCCTGTGTAGGAACATTCATCCGACATTTTACATCAACTTCTGTACTCCAGTGTGTGGTTACTTGCAGCTGGGATGCCTGTCTGCACACCTTGCGTTTCCAATGCATCGGCTTGTACATAGTTCTGTTGAAAACGCACAAAACAAGCAAACATTTCTTTACCAACAGACGTCTTCAGTAGTGTCACTTAACCTAAGCGTGCACTGCATTCTTTTCATTCAAACGGGCTGCAGATTTGAGGACATTCTGTTGAAATTCAGTTAGACATGCTCCACTGTTCTCTTCAATTCAATTTGCATTTACACCATCTTATCCCTGCTCGTGGGACCCTGAAGCAAATCCTATAAACCTTCCTAACTCCCTCGGGAAGATATAATCACTGATGCAACCATTAACCACTTGCTACCGGGGAGCCCGGTTTCAGGCACATTGGCTTTATACACGAAACCGGGGAGCCCGAAATCGGACAAAAGAGCTGGGCCTTGTAACAAAAGACCATACTCGCAACAAACGACCGAGCCGCTGGGAATTGCCAACATTTTTCAGTTGTCAATAGAGGAGGAAATCCGTCATAGTTTTGAAAGATTACACCACTGTTTGTGGCATTCAGCAGATTACCACCGGGGACAAAAGCGCTCCAGCAATGAGCGATACAATACCGCTGCAAGCTAATCTGGCCCCTATTGAAAAGACGCCAGCAGTGCACTGGGCCAGTTTCGGGAGCAAAAGAAACTTATGTAACACCACACAATCTGTGCTCTTTTTACAAGGCAGCAGGCCTGGCTGACATACTCTGGCATCAATAGATGTCTGTCAGATTAGGGTAGCCACCAGACGGTCACTCCATGGGATTTAGGCGTTCAGGAAAAAAAGATAAAGAGTTTTTGAAGATTTAAAAAAACCTGAAGACATTGAAAACTTGCTCATATGTAGGCACTGCATTTTTAAAAGCACCCAGCAGGAAATGGTTAAGATGCTACCAGGTTACCGATAACCCTCTCTGCACTCACAGGTACCCATGGATGCTCCAGGGTGGAGAGGAACAAGTGAGGGTAAAGTGACTTGCCCAAGGTCACAACGCATGGCCCATTGCAGGAATCGACCTCTGACCTAACACTGGGGAGTTCCAAAGCCTAACCGCTAGGCCACGCGTCCGTTGTGCAGGCTTGTTATCTGATTTTCAGTACGTCCCGTACCTCAGAAGATGCATGTCAGTAAAAAACAGACTCATCTTTTCAGGAATTTCCCAAAATTGAAGCCTTACCTATTTCGCATCTGGAGCCAGCAAAACCATAGGGACAGTTGCATTGATAAGGAGCAACGCAGGTCCCTCCATGTAGGCAAGGAAAGATGCAGACAGGAGAATGATTCAAGGCTGATGACAAGTTGAGTCCTGCCAAACAATGATCAATAAGTACGTGATGGTGACTAAGAGATCACAAACAGAAAGATTTATAAACCTTGTTCAACTTCTGCCAAGGCCTAGAGCCGAGGCATCTGATATCCAGGGATTAACACTCAAATGTTCTTGTGAATTTGTCAGAGTCTGCCATTATTGAACTAGAAAGTGCATTTTGCAAACCTTATACTTACTGACACATTTGGGTTCTTGACCGCTCCATCTATAGTCGGGTAGGCACTTTCTACTGCTGTGCCCATCTAGGAGGTACCCACTCAGGCAGCGATAGCTGATTGTGTCTCCTGGCTGGTAGCGATGGCCAAAGATTATCCCATTGTCCGGTTGTGGTGGCCTGCCACAGGACCTGGGCCCACAGGTGGGCAGGGGCTGGTCCCAAGTACCCTCTGCCGTGCACCTGAGCTGCCTCGCACCATGCAGCTGTAAGTTGTTTTTGCAGTGGAAGGTGAGAACGTCTTGGTAGCTGTGCTCGTTCCCCGAGATGGTAGCATCTGGAGGGGCGACGATCTTGGGGCAGGAGATGCGAGTACAGTTTGGAGGAGACGGATGCCACATTTCGTCGGCAAGGCAAGTGAGATTTGCAACGCCGACGACGTCATAGCCGGGGTTGCAGATGTAGTGGACGGTGGAATGGTACGCGTGAGAGCCTCCAATGGCATGCCCGTTGTGGATTGCCGGGGGTGGGGGACAGTGCTTGATCTGGCAGGACAAGTTTGTAGTGTTCCAAGTCCCGCTGGAGTGACAGACGAGCCTATCACTGGATGCCATCCTGTAGCCTTCAGTGCAGGCATATCGGGCAACTGTGCCAAAGACATAATCCTCTGCAGTGAGTGAGACGTCATCAGTGATATGAACGGCATTGCCGACGCTTGGCGGCATACCACATGCCACCGGTTTGCAGGTCGGTGCCATGGCACTCCATGATCGCCAAGCAAGGCACCGGCGGATGCCACTCCCATGGAGTACGTAACCTTCATTGCACCTGTACTCGGCGAGTGAGTTGAAGGTTGTTGTCGCTGCTTGGACTCTGCCATTCTGGATGCTCCTGGGGTGTCCACAACTGATGGGTTTACACTGGAACTGTGGGGTGCTCCAGGATCCATTGGCGAGGCATGTCAAAATTGGCAATCCATGACGCTGGTACCCACTATGACAGTGGTAAATGACAGAAGTATTGAACGTACGACTGGGCGACAGTGGGATGTACGTGTTGTCGATTGGAGGGGGTGGACCACATGACACAGGCAAACAATCTAGGCCCCGCCCAGTCCACGTACCATCAGCTTGGCATGTGCGAGAAAACTCACTGGTGGACGGCACATAACCAGTGTCACACCTATACTGCACCTCGCTCTGATAGTCCAAGCTCCCCTGTGAGAGCACCACACCATTAGCCACCTCTGCAGGTGGTGGGCACTGGACTGGCTGACAGATCGGTGGATCACCGCTCCACTGGCGTGTCGGCAGGCAAATGCGAGCTGACATTCCTAAAAGGTCAAAACCCAAGTTGCACTCGTACGACAACCTCTCCCCCAGCAGAAAGCCACTCACATCCCAGCGACCATTCACAATGGATTCAGGTTGGTCGCATGTTATCGGCTGGCATCTTGTCTCGCTGTAGCTCCATGAACCATTACTCAAGCAAGTTACAGAGTCAGGGCCAACCATTACGTATCCAATCTGACAAACATACACAGCTTTTGAGAGATACACCTGTGCGATCGATGCCACTTTCCCATATTCAACTTCAGGTGGAAGTCCGCATCTGACAGGCTCGCAAACAGGCTTTTCATTTCCCCACTGACCACCTGCTTGACAAACAACAGAAGCATTCCCTTGCATCACATAACCTTCCAGACAGCTGTACAAAACCACACTTCCAAAAGTGGATCCACTTGTCATTGATACACCCCCGTTTTCAATTTCTGCTGGACTTCCACATGACACGGGTAGGCATTCTAAGTCAGTCTGGCTCCACGAACCATTGGCGAGGCATTCAAGTGTTATGTTGTCCACAGCATAGAATCCTTCTAGACAGAGATAAGGAATGAGACTTCCGTAGGTTGAATTTGTGACAGACGGCACTGCATTGTTGATCTTTGGAAGCACAGTGCACGATATGATCTTGCACACTGGTTCCTCGGCACTCAACGTCCCGCTGCTCAAACAGGAACGTGTAGCTGTCCCCTGTAACTGGTACCCGTCAAGACAAGTATACGTGACCTCTTCGGCATAAAACACCTCCCTCTGTGTGACTAACCCGTTCTCAATCGCAGCTGGAATGCTGCAAGATATCAACCTACAAACCGGTGTCTCGCCACTCCATATTGCATTAGCCAGGCACTGTTGCTCAGCTTCACCACTGAGATAGTATCCAACATGGCACCTGTAGGACACCCTGTCCAAGTAATGATGGCCAGTGAAGGAAGCTGTACCATTCTGAATGGACGGCACTGGACACGGCACTGGCAAACATTCCGGTGGCTGGTGACTCCAGACACTGCTCTCTGTGCAAGTCAAATTTGCTGTGCCGTAAATGAAGTAGCCGTCGTCACACGTGTACACTGCCACACTCCCATTGCTGGTCTGTGGGGCGAACACCGTGCCATGAATTGGATCGACTGGCTCGGGACATGCAATGACCCTGCAGTGGGCAGCTAGTTGAGTCCACGTGCGATCTGGCAAACATATCACACGACCGTCGCCATGTAAGACAGCGCCCTCGATGCACACATACTCAGCTGTGTCACCAACAAAGTAGTCCATTTCTGCAGAAAAGCAAAGTCACAGAACAGTCAGAACAGTCTGGATTTTTCCCCATTCAACAAGAAAAAAAATGAATGCTTATAAAATTTTCATCAATATGAAGGAATATTTTCCTCAAGCATTTTCTAATGAGTCTTGGTTGTGCGACCAGTTATAGCTAAAAGAATTTTTCCAATAGAACTACCACTGTGTATGTAAGTTTTTCTACGCGCACTTTTTTATAAAAATTTCACCAAAATAACAATGTTATCACTGCTCCTCTATTTTACCCTTTACCCTCTAAAAATCCAAACTCCAATGGAGGTGGATCACTGCACAGCATCGGCAAGCATCGAAGTGAGTCTGAGTTCACCCATGTTCCATCCCACTGACACCGTACGGTCGGGTTCCCATCCAGTCTGTATCCCTCCTGACATGTGTAGTGGGCCAGGGAACCAAACAGGGTAGAGTTTGTGGTCTGTGTCGTGTTGATGACGACGGGTGGCGGTCCACAGTCCACGGGCAGGCACTGCGGAGGAGTCCCGCTCCACCGACCAGTCGCCAGGCAGGTTATGACAGATGTCCCTGCAAAGAGACGGCAGAGGGTCAGCTATACGCATGCATTACCTAAGTACTCCATCAATAGTTAAAAACAAGGGAAACTGAGGCTGTGTCCAAATTGACTGGCTGCAGCTTGGAGTAACACAAATGTCCATAGGGAGAGGTCCATGGCTTCCATGGGCTTACATGTGAGGTACAGCCACAGCCACAACATTTAGACACAGAACATACACTCCAGCCTCACTGTCGTCTTGTGCCCTTGCTTAGGTTTGTTTGGCGAAGTCTTCTGGGACAAATGCTGCCATTCTGCGCATTCAGATGAAAACTGGCAGTTCATACTACGCACCACGCGCCTGTGTGAATCAACGTACACGAGGACCGTTTCCCACACACAGACACCTGGTCACTGAAGACGGCCACACACTACTATCTGCTTACCACAGAGAGAGAGTCAACACTGCTGGTTTATTGCAGTGTCCATTCCAACATGCTTGAAGATACTGTGCAACTTCATACTCCAAGGAATCAAGTGGCTGTACCAAGGTCAGATCCAGAACCCTTTTTTTTTGAGGGGGGGGGACAAAATTATTTTTAGGGGGCCACACCATTTCGGAAATTTACGTAACCTTTTAGGGGCCAGGGCTCTCTGAGGGGTGGGGCTACATTTGGAGCTATTGGAGGGAAATATAACAGGCCAAAAATCTAAAACACGGCATTGAAATCTGAAAAGTTAGAGGGCCTGACTATTTCGATCTTTGCAGAATCTTTCTCCAAACGACCAAGTGAAATTTCCACTAGCCCCTTTGCTGGGGAAAATTTCTACCTCTTCTGGAATCCAATGCTACAATAAAATAAACCAATGTGTTTGGACATCAAGACCAACTTCAAAATAATTGCGGTTGTCATTTATGGTCCAGAAAGAAACAAAATACCACAAAAAACAGATGTTGCTTTAACAGCAATTTGGGCTAGCCGGGGTTTAATAATAAAATGGGCATAATTTTGTTTGCACTCACCATTAAGAATGTATCCTTGGTTGCAGGAGTAAGAAGCAATGCCCCTATACAAGAAGTTGTACCCTGTGAATCTGCCGTTCACTGGTCTGGCTGGTTGTCCGCAGATGACCATCTCGCAGATAGGGAAATCCCCGGTCCACGTATGATCAGCCGTGCAGGTCCGCACTGATGGTCCAAGCAGTCGGTATCCTGTATTGCACGTGTAGGTTACCGACTTATTGTGGGTCCGATCGTCACCGTGTATTGCACCATGGGAGGGGACGGGCAGGTTGTGGCATCTGATCGGTTGGCAGGACGGCGGAGGGGCGGACCACTCCCCGGAGACAGTGCAGCGGAGCTCCTGGTCTCCGTCTAGTTGGTACCCAGGATTGCACCTATAGCGGATCTTAGTTCTGTATGGGAAATAATTAAGTTCCAGAGACTCGTTCCGTGTCTTGACAGTGAATTTGGCATTGGCTACTTTGGGGAGTCCAGGGCAGGAGATGGGAAGGCATCGCGATGCCACGCCTGACCACCGCCCATCAGCCTGGCAGACTCGGGTTGACGCCCCCATGAGGTAAAAACCGTCGTGGCATAAGTATGTTGCTGTGTCCTCAAAGTTGTGCCCCGTCCGGATCAGCCTGCCATTGAGGAGACCACCGAGGCGGTCGCAGGTCACAACTTGGCACATTTCCAGTTCACCTTCCCAAGTGCCGCCCTCACCACACAATAAAGTACCCCTTCCTTTAAGAAGTCTGTATCCGACTTGACAATGGAACATGACATTGACTGGGAAGTGGTACGCGTCCTGCTCTGATGATGATGCCAAGCCTGCGTGAAGAATTGTCGGGGGAGTATTACATGCGACTCTCTCACAATGTGGGACAGTCCCATTCCACTGGCCGTCTGCACCACATGACCGGGCTGGCTGGCCAATCAGATTGAAGCCAAGATGACAGTGGTAGTCAATGACTCCTCCAAACGAGAAGTTTCCTCCTTCAAAAAAACCATTTTCAAGAGTATCGGGGGGTCCACATAAAACAGGCTCACAAACTGGTAAACTGTTATTCCACACACCACTGGCAAGGCACCCTAATGCAGTTGGTCCCTCTAGCTTGTAGCCTACGTCACAGGCAAAGGTCACACTTTCTCCATACTGAAACAATTCTCCGATTACAGTACCATAAAGAGGATGGTGAATATCCGGACAGGGAGAGGGTGCACACTCAAAATATTCACCAATCCACTTGAGTTCTTCCAAGCACTGCAATGAACCAGTGCCGTGCATCTGATAGCCCTCTAGACACGAGTACCGGGCAACACTTCCAAGCGTCAGCCCAGTCACACTGTACGTCGCAGATGTTATATTCGGTGGCGGGCCGCACTGTATGGGGGTGCACCTCGGACTGGTACCCGACCACGAGCTGTCTGGTAAACATGTCCGTGTGGCATTACCAAGCAACCGGTACCCTGCATAGCAGTTATACGTAATGCTGGCCCCGAGCACGTAGCCCCTGGACAGTGTAAAGGAGGAGTGCGGACCCCTTTCTGGTTGGTTGCAAACTATGGCAAGGCACTCGGGGATCGGGCTCCACTCTCCATCCGGACCGCAAGTGACGGTAGCCTGACCCTTCAGCTTGTAACCATCCACACACCTGTACGTTACTGTCTGAGGAGAGACCTGGGTACCTCTTTCGTAGCTATAATAGTCCGAGTTTGGAATTTCTGGGACACTGCCGCACAAAACAACTGTGGAAAATAAACAAAACTTTATAAAACTGATTACAGACAATGTATATAGGGCACTTAGAGACTCAACATTGCATGATTGAAATTTTGAAAACATTCTGGCTTGATAACCTTCACAGCTTGGTTGGTACCCGCTCCACTCCCCGTTCTCCAGACACTCTCTCATGGCAGGTCCGATCAGCGTGTATCCATCGTGGCAGACGTAGTTTAACTCAGACTCGTAAGTGGACTTTGTACCAACAATCTCACCATTGTCGATGGTGTCTGGAAACCTGCATAGTATGCCTGCAAACAGGTGACAAACAGTCCAATTTTATCTTTTGTGTTTGAGATTTTTTTCTCTCACATACTGACAGTTGCAAATAATTACTGTGGACAGCACAGACTCCACCCTCTCAACAGTGACAGAACAGTATGACAGACACTAAAAATGCCATTGCATGCTGTGCTTATGAGCGCCTACATATAGATATCCAGTATTTGTGCGCATTCAGATGAAAATCAGTCATGTGTCCTGCATATGGACAAATCCAATGGTTGCTCATTCTCATCATCAAATATAGTCCAGTACCTGAATCAGATGTCCATTCAGGGAATGTGTCACACTGAAACTCTTTTGAGCGGTTACAGAGTACCAGCCAGTATGTCGAAACAGAAAGCCACGCAGAAAATGTACAGAGACTATTTACTGAAGACACACTTACGTCGGCACTCTGGGGGTTCGTACGGCATCCAGTCACCGGAGATCTGACAGGTGGACTGCTGGTACGTGTTGGCGTCCAGTTCAAAGCCAGACTCGCACCTGTAGTACACCACGTTATGTGTGGTGTCCATCTGGTATCCCGTGTAGTAACCGTACTTGGGATTGAATGGGGCATCACATCCTGGACACAGAAAGTCAAAAGGATGAACAGCACATCATGATCATCTATGTCCATCATTCGTAAACTCACTAAAATTATTGTAACCGAAATGTTTGCACTTCATGCATGCAATTTCTAAAAAGTGAGCTCTATGGCACAGAAAAGTCAACTGAACTCTTTCCCCTACAAATTATTTCTCACTCAAATTAACTCGTGGAATAAACCCCTCATCACGTATACAATGCAGCAGCTTAACCACTTGCTGCCAGGGGACCCGTCTTCGAGCACATAGGCTTTATATGCAGAGCCGGGGAGCCGGAAATGGGGACAAAAGAGCTGGGCCTTGTAGCAAAAGACCGAGCTTGGCACAAAAGATTAAAGCTGCTGGGCATTACCGACATTTTTTCACTCTCAATAGTGGAGATAATCCAGCCTTGTTTTGAAACAGTATACTACGGTTTGGGGCATTTAGAGCAAGCAGATTACCACCGGGGACAAAAGCGCTCCACCACCGCAGCGATGAGCCACACAGCACCGCTATGCACTAATCTGGTCCCTATTGAAAAGAGGTCAGCAGCGCACTGTGCCAGGATTGTGAACAAAAGAACTATAACACTGCACAATCTGGGCTCTTTTTACAAGGCTGCAGGCCTGGCTGAAATACTTGGGCATCAATAGATTTTGTCTGTCAGGCTAGAGTGACCACCAGACAGTAATTCATGTGGGTGTAAACGTCCATTATTTGAAACAATGAATTTTTGAGGAATTTTGAAAACTGAAAATCTTGATAATGACCCGTATGTGTGCACTGCATTTTTCAAAGCACCCGGCAGCAAGTGGTTAATGCACTGTTCAATGGTCAAAGTGCAACATCAAAAGAACCATTTGTATCATTGTATAAAAGACTAAAGTTCAGGCAAAATCACTGCAATCCACACCATCTTCGCGAAAGGCAAGAGAATTTACAAAAAATAGCTGACAAAACAATTGCAGTGGCACATTGTCAACACCATGATCACAGCATTCAACAACGGAGAAACTGAAAGGGTGATATCTCACCACTGCAGAAGTTATTCTTCAGCTGCTGGACCTCTCCATAGATGTTCAGGAGGACATCGGGCCAGGCCAGGACCACACCCTCCAGGTCAGGTTTCTGACAGTCTCGAAGCAGGCCTCGCACATCCTCCTCAGACAGGATGTGACCCCAGATGTGCAGGAGGGTGATCTCCCCGACGAAGGTCTCTGAGCTGGCAAAGTCGCCGCCAACAGAATCCTGCTCCTGGCCCACGACAAACACCCCACCGCCTGCAAAACAAATGAAGGATGTTGGATGTGGGTTTACGTGCAAAAAGCCGATTTGGTCTACTCATAGTAGACGAGTAAACAGTGACGTAGCTATTCCGAGGGAACACCGGGCATGAAATATTTTTTCCCAAGGTACAATGAAAACAAATGAAGCGCAGCTTGTGGATAGGAGAGGGGAGGGAACAGACTTCTGCTGGGTGTATGTGCCCCCTGCAGTTACACTACTGCAAGCAAAATTTAGCCAACTGCAAGCCCTTCAAAACTTAGACGTAACGATGCATGCAACGAATTCGATTTATTCTAAGAACGTAAAAACCTGTGGCATGTTCACATGAAAGAATCTAAGCTCTGACGGGTACTTAAAACTGATCACAAGTATACTTAGTAGCAATTCTGTGCCCATAAAAATTATCAAGGCAAAGTATCATGCAGTCTTTTGTGACTATAAATGTTGTCTAATGCACTTATGGTCTCAGGATTGTAGCATTTTAAGCCCGCGTTCCACATAGATGACCAAAACTAAGCCAGGAACCCTGGTCCCTGCGGAAGTCTCATCCATTCTCACCTGGGATGACTGCTCCCTCGGCTAGCCCCTCCCCCCAATCAGCCACCTCGCCGTCTTTGTAGATGACCCATTCCCCGCCAGCGCTGGACCACGTGACCGCAATGTGATGCCACACTCCGTCATTGGCCGTTACGTCCGAGACGCGACTGGAGTCATTGACGTACAGGACAAAGCTGGAAGGACACAAAGAAAAGCCGGACATTTCATTTTGTACCTGATCCAACGTCCCGTCGTTACATCCGTAAACTGAGTCAAGTGTTGTAAAATTAACTGTTGCAATAAGGGACTTCAATAATAACAGTGCAGATTACATCTTTTCTCTTATCTTTGAATTCTACAGAAAAATATGTACATTCACAGACTGCCTATTCGAAGTAACCTATATCTAACCTTCACAACGTTGGTCTCTCGTTGAGACACATATTATGAAAACTTATACCTGCACTGCAAAATGAATTATTGTGCCAATATTGTGCGGGTCGACAATAACTAATGTATTACATAGGTGCCGTTCTTGGGATACGGTACAAGAATACAGCCTTACAAAGCTTCAAAAGCCTGCGTTATCATTAAGTAGTTTCCACATGGGATCAAAGTTTCACTCGGAATGCTTGTGTTCAATACCAGCCCAGTAGATTACTTATGAATCACATCTTTAAAACTCAGTTTCAAAATTGCCACACCAAGCTAGTTTCAAAGTAAAACCCTGCTCCTATATTTTCTTTTTTACTGACCCACTGTAGTCCATGAAGGTAAATGCATTGGTCAGCTGGGTGCTGTGGTCGGCCACAGCTCCATAGGAGAAAGGCGAGCCGTAGTTGGTGTCCACAGACCGCATCCAGAAGGCAGCAGTCACCTCGGTCAGCTCGGGCAGGGCACCGTCTATCATGATGTAGTCCGTAGTGCTCAGATGTTCAAACCATAGGTTGAAATCCCACGGTAATTCTGAAAAGTGAAGAAAATTGTGCCTCCGTCCCTGAACACGTTGCAAGTTTCCACATGTTTGTGTACTGAAAGGACCGAATTATGAATCGGATTTTCAGGAGATGAACAGTGTATGGTCTAAGGCTCGATTACACACTGATGTTGTTGTTTCAGTCTTTCTTTATTGAAGAATTGGAAAATCCTAGTTGTCATCCGGGGATGTGACTGCCAATTTATAAGGAAAAGTCTCAGAAGTGGACCCGAGCATTCGGAACATCTTCAAATGCAAAGTTGCACAAAGGTCCCAGATTCAAAGGGTGTGACTTCAGACAAGAGTGAAACTGTCCACGGCTCTTTAACCCACGCGTTTTAGGCAAAACCTAGCCACACCGCGTCATGAATGTGGCCTTAACTGGAAACCTTCGGATTGGACTCACCCACTTCGCACAAGTCGCCGGTGTAGCCGTGCTGGCAGAAGCATCGGTAGCCATTGACATCATCTTGACATGTTCCGCCGTACTGGCACGGGGACGAGAGACACTCATCAACATTTGTCTCACAGCGGATACCGGTAAAGCCTTCCTCGCAATCACATCTGTGCAAACGCAACACTAGTCATAATTGGAACAAATTTCCACTTGAAATTCAAATTATTGCAAAGTTCGACCTTAATGCTGGTCCGCCAGCCACAAACAAGTAAAAACCGCAGCGGTCTAGTGAAAGCCTTCGTCTGGGTAGTCCGGCAGTCTAGTAAAACAATATTCGGAAATTAGCGGCGAAATAGTTGATTGTGATGCATGCCCTCTAGCTGCTGCTGGTTTTTTAACCAAATAAAATAGCACCTTTTGCAACCAAAAATAGTTCAGCCCTTGGCCCCAGCCCAACAGAAGTAATGCTGAAGTCTATGAATGCAGCCTTTCCCCAAAGATGCCTCCAAAATAGTAGTAAAACTATGCGCTCAGCTCTGAATGTAGCCTCTGCCACTTTTGAAAGAAATACCCCAAACTGGAAATTATCAGTTCCAAATTCGGGATTTATAGAAATATTTCCATGATACCTCCTGATTATTGTAAACACCCGGTGGGATCACAAAATATTAATGAGTTCACACGCAGAATGCACCCCATGGGTACTGGGCCGTCAGTCTAGAACGAACACGTACTACATGTACATTTCGCCAGGCGTACATGTGCATGTACATGTGCATACTGCATAAAACATACATGTACATAAACTGTTCATAATGATATTTTTTGTTCTGTCCCTTGGATTGTGAATAAACCATTTTTATCAGGTAACCACTTTGCGTGTTAATTTGCTTGAGTAGAGTTCTACTCTGGAAATTCATAATTCCCATGGCCATTTATGATTACTTGTCAACAATTAAACAACAGTCAGCACCGAGTGCACACTGTTATGCATGATGTTGGAGCACAAAACGTTAGTGCCAAAAAAGAATGTTGAAATTTGAGGAGAAGACGCGGACAAGTGAAAATGCTGGCGGACTAGTAAAAAGCCATCACTGCTGGTCTGGCTGGCGAGTGAGAAAAAAAGTTAAGGGCAAACCCTGTATTGAGTCATCAAATATAGCCGATCAGGATCTCTGGCCATGCTACATGCACAGGTTTCAAGATTTCAGACTTCAACATCTCCCCCCAACATATTTCCCCCTTTTCTTTTTTTGGGGGGGAGTTCGACCCCCTGGATCCGCGCCTGCATCCAGTGCATTCTCCAAGCGAATGCAAAAGTGAAGCATATATGACGTAACAAACATGTTTGCAGTTAAATTTGCTTGAGTTGAAAGCGGTTCAACTTTTGTGACTTCGTAGTGCGAACAGTTGATCTGATGTCACAAACAATAGCATATCTTGGCATATTTCCAACATGGGAGCAAGATGGCTTCGTTGAAAAACCACTGGCCTTGCAGCACAGAAGTTATGGGTTCAAATCATGCTTTATTACTTCCTTCTTCACAATATGTACAATATTGACAGCAGGTGCATTTCCTCACAGCACACAAACTAGAAAGTAATGTTTCACTAGCTTGATGATCAGGGGTAATAAAACTGCTTCGGTTTTTGTTAAAAGTGTTAAGTATATGTTTCATCTGTTGACACACTAGAGTGGTTCTCAACCCCTAAAAAATAACCCACTTTTGCAGAAATTCTACAGTGTACAAGTCAACACGAGGGTCTCATATTACCTGTAATTTGCCACAAGGTCATGACAAGTCGCGCCGTTGAGGCAAGGTCTGCTCTCACACTCGTTCTGCTCCATCTCGCAGAACGTCCCTTGGTAGCCGGGCCGGCAGTCGCAGCTGAAGCTAGCCAGGCCGTCCAAGCAGCGGGCACCATGGTAGCAAGGGTCCGACAGGCACTCGTTCACCTCATGCTCACAGAGGTCGCCTGTCGGGGAGGAAAGTTGCAAAGGTCACAGAGGTCATCTAATAAAAGTCCATACCAGATTCCACTAAATATATAGTCTCAAGGCCATTTTTCAGTGATTTCGTTTGAAACTGCACAGGAAGGAGGAAAGACCTTTTTTCACGTATCGATCATTTTGGCAATGAAACTGGCCGTTTTGTGGCTGAAAAATGTTGCAGGTGTCTTTGGAGCTACGTTGTGCAAACTCAAAACTAGCTTTGGCAACTTGCAACTCCTTTTCTTGCACAGGGCCAAAAATCGTATAGCTGTACAATAGCACACTCCTATTATTTTTTTTGGCCTCCTAGGTCTTTCACTGAGGAAGACAGAGCAGATGTTCTTATAGCTGAATTGCTTGAACGCAAAGAGCTTGCTGGAGGAGTGTCATGTCGATCTCTACTCACCTGCATACCCTCTTGGGCAGACGCACTGGTAACTGGCTACGCCATCTAAGCAGGTGCCGTTATGTTGACAGGAACTGTACTGGCATTCATCAATGTCATCGCTGCAAGTCTTGCCTGTATGGTATGCGTAACAAATACTGGTCAGAATTTGGAGTTCTGATGCGTGGGTGCTTACACTTTTTATACCCCTGCCCGTCAGGCCTGTCACATCTTCAGGGTCATCTCAAGATTTGGAGAAAATTTTGGAACTGTTACTCTTTCCAACAAGTGGCAACTCGAGAGTAGCCATTTGCCAACTCTGCAGTGGAGGACAATGTTGACATGTTACCCACAACCCCTCATTCGGGGGGGGGGAGGGATTTCAGTTCAGCAGTAAATGAAAGGCATTTTGAATCCTTACAATCAAAAGTCATAATTATTTTCAGGGAGCATTTTCAACCACCTCTAACATTTGAAATACTTGAAACAGCTTATGTTAAAGGCAAAACTCCGACCTTGTCAATATGGTGCTACGGCACGACCATTTTACACATTCACGACCGCAAAACATACTTTTACTTTCTCCTGGTGTGTACATTTGGCACACAAGAGTTTGCACTTCCAACATTAACTTTTCTATCCTGCAAACCATCTGAACTCAAGCAACCGACCAACCAGTTACTCGTTGAGTAGCCTATCTCTGAACGGAGGAAGGAAAGTCCAGGCATAATTTTGTTGAAATGTATCACCTTGGAATCCTGCAGGGCAAACACAGCTGAAATTGTTGAGGCCATCCCGACAGCTGGCTCCATTCTGACAAGGGGCGCTCTCGCAGTCGTCGATCTCAGTGTCACAGATTATACCTGAATAAAAGAGATACCCAAAAAAGAAGGAAAAACTGAAATCAGTTAAAATCAACTACATTTTAATGATTCATCAGAAAATCCAGTCTGAAATACTGATTGATCAACTTGATTATCTTCGTACTGAATGATTGTTTTTGTCATAAATACTCATTCTACCATCCTCAATGCGCACTTACAACGGTAATGGCTATAGCCGAACCAGAACAGGTCTTAAAAGTCGGGGGTTCATTGTCAGTGCGGCCAATCCTACCTGTGTATCCGGGCTTACAGATGCACACATAGCCGGTAGATACTCGTTGGCAAGTTGCCCCATTGGCACACGGTGAAGAAAAGCAATCGTTGTAGGGTAAAACCTCCAGGGCGCTAATGTTAAACCCCTCGATATCAGGGCCTGGGGGAAACATTGTGGATATTTACTTATTGCATTTCATGCATATTCATGAGCAAATGCACCTCTCCCATTGGCTAACACTCCAAAGAGTCAGGGAACACAAATACAATTGGTTTATGTATTATACAACAGGTCATGATGGATTTGCATGTGATGTAAAGTGTCAGCCATGTTGAGAGTAACACAGTGTTGTATAGTCCAGTTGCCTGATATACTGCTGTGCCCACATTTACGTATTATGCTCTAAAAGTGTCCCAGCGGTTTGGTCAGCTATACACTACCTATGCAGTCTTCCCAAGTTGTCACTGCATCATTGGTAAGGGTAGTCTGGGGGCATTTGAAGCAGGAGGTCTTGCTGATGCCGGGCTGGTAGTAGCCATCGGGGCACGGGAGGCAGGGGACTACACCACTTCTTGACACGTACCCAGGCTTGCATGGTTCTGTTAAGAAATCCAGACAAAAATCCAGCAGATGGAATTTTTGCACCTTATTTATTTGACACTGTATTCTTTTGCAGACTATCACTGGGTATAACCACAGGGGTACAATTTTAAAGGTTACAGACACGTACCAGCTTGGTTGATAAGATTTGTTGGGACAGGATATTATTTTGTAGCTTTTTAAGGCCACTGACCTGCATTCTAAGGGGCTACAGAGGCAACAGTTTTATGAGTAGAGACTCGGGGGGGGGTCTGTAGTTTCATCCTACCAATCTTTACACGCTGTAGCCAAACTGACAACAGTTTTGGGGGGTAACATTTTATTGGGCAAGGTACAGAATAGCCTTTGATGAGCTAACAGGCTGAGGTTGTCAAGATTCCTTGGTCAAGACCTGCACGTATCAAACTGTACAATGCCTTTTTTCTACTGACCTGCACATTCTGTGGCCATGGTAGCACCCATTTTAACAGTGGAGGTACCAGAGGGGCACGGCGTGCAGTCTGTGCTACCGGAGTGTGGCTGGTAGGAGCCCTTGGGGCACGCCTCACACTGCTCCAAGCCTGTGTCGGAGTAGCTGCCTGGACTGCATATATCTGCAGATTCAACAAAGTCAAGAGCAGGACGCTACAAAATAAAGCAAATACAGGACACAGAACGGCTCAGAGTAAGACACTTTGCAGATGTGCACCGTAAGGACAGAATAAAAAGCAGGGCAGATCTACGGCTTCAAAACAGTTCTACCTTTACATTCCTCTCCTGACTGAGCTCCGGTTTTGGCTGTCGACGTGCCAGGGGGGCAATCGATACACTGCATCTGGCCAGGCTGGTTTTGATAGGACCCTTGAGGGCAGCGTTCACAATCGCCGGTCTGCCCATCGAAGAATGTACCCACGGCGCATTGTACTGGGGGAAGGAAAAATGTACATCTTGTTGCGTTCACTTGATTTCGCAAAGCCCAAAATGTCTGGTCTAATTTGAAGCCCTTCAAAGTAAACTCGTTAATTTGCACATCTTCTGAAGCACTGAGCATAGAATGCTGATAACAGAGAGAAGGTGAAAGGCACAACCAAAATCAACATTTTTAAAATATCCTCGAGAGTGGAATACATTATTAAACTGAGAATGAGGCGAGAAATAGACGGCACTGGGAATCTTTCATTCAACACAGGGCATTACCCTGGATAAAAGCAATAAAAGCATTCTCAAAAATTCAATATTTTAAGGCTTTTTATCAGCTAACCAAGTCATTCGTTCTCTCCTGAAAGTTTACTATCTTGAATCTGGCACTTTTTTGAACAATGTGATAAAGTATTTGAAACCCTTTAAAAATGTGACTATTTGGGTTAAAGTCCTAAAATCTAGAAAAATCTAAGAAAAAATTCCCCAAAACTCGCATCCCGCAAGATGGTGTTGTGCATGTGGGCAGTGATGTCATTTGTGGCTGACCCATATTGAGAGTTTTATCCCTATCGGACTTACAGCACCAATTGTGCCCGGCAACATTTCCTGGTGGACACACGGGTAGGGCTTCACTCGGCAGCACGACCACTGAGTTAGCATCCACCTGTTCCCCCATGCCTTGGGGGACGTTGCCGTCCTCGATCACCGACTGCACTAGGGAATTGGATGCCCTGGAAAGGGAAGAGCGCAGCTCCTGATAGGCATCCTCATCAACTGAGGTTACCTCCTCTGGCAGATTGAGTTTACCTAGGAGAGAGCAAGATTTCCAGCCCCAAAAAATGCACGAAGCTTGGTATCAGAAAAGGTTCAGTCGCCCATAATGGAAGCATAGATCCTTCAGATATAAAAACAATATGGCCAAGTTTGCTCGCTGACCATCTGTCAAATGCTGGTTGATTTTGCCTGGTGCCTGGTGTATACTTCCTGCGTTAGGTTACCAGTCAAAAACGACCAGTGGTTGACAATTTGTCGCTAATCGAACTTGTCCCTTTGTTATTGATGGACATGCAAGTGTTTGGAACAGTAGGAACACCTATTTCCAATCTTATGACGTGAGGAGAAAATAAATTTGTGAGCAAGCTGGTGGAAAACTTTTGCATGCACTTTGAGCTGTTTATATTTGTTAATTTTTGAGTCTAGAATTCAGTGTATTCTTTTGCTGGGCTGTGAGAGTGCTAGATTTTTTTCAGGGGGGGGGCAGAGATGTAATCCTCTTCACCTGTGATGTTCATGTCCACAAAGACTCCTGGAAACTTCTGTAGTTTCTCCAACTGTTCCCGATCAAAATTGATGTCTCCTCTCAGTTGTTGCCGCCGACCGAATGATGGGGTGAGATCGACAACAGTTGCCGATAAACTCCCAGTGCCTCCTACAGGAGTAGATATTGCAACAGTGATAAAACTAGGGAACAAATCTGTGCACGAAATGAGGTACTGATGATGTACTTTTGCTACAAGAGACACTGTGCATGTCCACCTCTCCTTAGGTGCTGACACACGAGACACTGTTGGCCACATCTATGAATTAGACCCCCAAAATTACCTGCTGCTAACATGGTGCAGCCCCGAGGCACAGAATGACCATCACTGAGCGAAGGTGATGCCTAGGGTTGAAGGTCTCTCTGTGGGTCGTGCTTGGCAAACCTATCCGTCAAGGAAAGGATCAAGGGCCAACAGTGGAAGCTACACGGACAAAAGTAATGGTATTCTGCTGCAGGCCATGCAAAGCAAACACTTTTTACAAAGGTCTGCTCAAGAATTTGCGACGCCAAATTCGTTTTGTTATCCAGTGTCACAGCCCTCGGGTAGAAAACTTTACAACATACAAAAATTACCTTTTGGCAGGCAATTCACCTTGATTCCGGCAAAGCTACAGTCGACTGGCCCGCTGCAAATCTTGCCCATCTGAAAGAATCAAATTTGAGAAAAGACAAAAAAAGTGTTAGGTCTCAGTATGTCACATACTCGACGGTCGCAGTTGACTTAAAAAAGAGAATGTCGTGGCCTATCCACAAAAAGGCACTTAGATTGTAGTTGTATTTTGCCCATCCAAAGTTACAGTCTGCCGTCAGTTCAGAGTTTGCTCTGAGGTTTGGCTGAATGATGGTAGAGAGGTGAGATGGGCCAGGGCAAGTTTTGGCAGTCGTAGCCAACACTCTATTTTGGTTGATTGTCTGTGGTTCAGTATTTTAAGCCCGTTGCTGTTTTTGCAAGCACCCATACCTTTCGGTCCCACTAAACACCTTTTTTGTTTCGCAAGTGCCAAAATCCTACATTACATTCTTACCTATGGAAGGTAGCGCTGTGAACCATTTTCTTAAGTGAAAGTACCGTCCTTGGTGATTTGCATGCATTTTACCACCTGCTAAAATTTGTAAATTCACTGCACTACAGGAAAGTGCTGGAGGAATTTACCCCTTCTTCTCCACAGAGGGAACACGGAGTCGCAACCTAAATTATTACAAGGTCCATGTTAAGTCCAATCACAACTCAAAACTACACTGGATAACTTGCCGATGACTTGCTGAGAGAACCTGTGTGGAATTTTGGAGGCCTACCTCATTTTCGTGATTTCTCCGAATGTTTTCAGCCATTTCATTTGCCAGGTTCTGATTGCAGAAGTCAACGGGAAAGGTGAATTTCACAGGTAGTGTTGCGTTTGCTGGATTCTCTCTTCCTGCAACAAGGATTTTTGAAAAGGATTTTTTGAAAAAAAGAAATTTAAAAGATCAGATTGTTTCTGACAGCCTGGTGCTGTGACAGCAACCTGTGGCAAAAGATTGGGACTAAAAAGGACACCAAGTTTGTTTATCTACTTTTCCACATCAAACGAAAAAAAAAACCTGTTGTGTAGATTTTAAGTAAGGGAAGGAACCTACTAGAACAGTCCCCCCACGGCATGGCGTGAAACGGACTCCATCGGCCATCCTCTGAGCATCGATAGACCGGTTCCGGCTCAATGGGGAAAGAGTATCCCTCGTCGCATCTCAGGGTACACTCCAGACTGCCACTTGCCGGGTTGCAATCAGCCCGGCCGTGCTGTGGGTCCTCTGGTACGATACAGGCACTTGCTGTGGAGCCAACAAAAATTCAGCATCAAATGCACTGCACGTCTCTGAATATCGACTTTTAGCAGCTTAATATTTTATTTACCTCAAAATCCTATACTCCATGGGACCCAGGGAATAATCGATGCTGCCACATGACCCGTCACTGGGTGACTACACTAGTGACCTCCCTTGATTGCATCTGATGTAGTAGTCGTCCCTACAGAAGCTTCAATGATACACTTTGGATTTTGGTTTTAGGGGGCTAAAATTCCTATTTCTGCATTGTTGTGCATTATCCTAGGATGACCAGTGGTACCATTTGACCCTCTTTCAAATTGACTTGTGGCTGATGATGTTGACTGGATTCCTAAAGGCCAAGCAACCCCCTTAAGCAGACTGAATAGGTCTGCCCTGGTAAGTAAGTGGTTTTAGGTCCCAATCTCACCAGCAAATTAACCTGTGAATTGAATTCCAAAAGCTCTCTTACACAGGGTGTACAATGCCAAAAATGAAGTCGGGGAGGGTGAAATTATACTTTTAACACTGGGCCAAATTGAAGCCATATACCCAACCTGGGGCCCTCTCATCTGCTTGTACAAACTACTTCAATACCTATATGCTGCTTGTGAAGGGCATCTCAAGCAACAAGGTTAACAAATCTGAATTGTTTAAAGCTCACGCTGAACATTGACTGTGATGTGACAACTTTTGGTGTTCCCCGTCTCGTCTCGTGCGATGTACTCCACGTTCGTCGTGCCGAAGGACAGGGACAGGCCCGGGGTGTGAGACCGCGTCACGGTGACTGGCCCGCCCGAGTTGTCGGAGAATCGCGGCTCCTCCCATGCGACCTGGGCGCTGTGATCATCAGTGGTGAGGATGGTATTCGGAGACCGACACTGCTCAATGACTGGGGGCTGGCTGTCTATAAATATGAACATGTAGTGCGTCTGTTACAGCAAACTATGAAGAATATGTAATTAAATTCAACAAACGGACCATCAGAGCCACCTCTGAAAGTGTCTTGCGCGATGAAAACTTGCATATTTCTTTCTTAAATTTATCCAGGGTAACCTATTCGTCATAAGGTGGTCTCCCATAGGGCCCTGGCATAAGCACATAAAAACTGAAATAAAGTAAATAATAAAATTAATTCAAAATAAAAAATTACTGTACATAAACAATATGACAAAAGAAAGTACACACCAAAACACAGAGATTTCTAAGGACACGGTTATACAGAGCTTAAAAATAACAGAACACAAAACATAAGAAGAGGAAAACATCTAACTTGACCACTAAGACTCTGAGAGGACTGATCTCAGTGATGATTTAAAACTGCCAAGGGAAGATGCTAATTTCACAGACTGGTCCAGGTTATTCTTCACAAGAAATTCCGGTGAAAAGGGAGCTGTTTCTTAGACAGTCTGTCTTGAACTTTGAAAAACCATCAAGGAACTCAAAACATGCCACGCGTTATAGTTGTGAACCTAATTAAGTTATCCATCAAGTAGGCTGGGGCTAAATTGTTCACACATTTGTACATTAATAGATGGTTTGCATGGCTGCCATCTTGAAGACCAGTGCTTTTGTTCCACAGGGTTTGCATACAGGTTTCTCTGTGAAACAAAAGAACTGTCCTGCAGGATGGCTACCACGCAAAGCCTCAACGGGGCCCACCAATGACTGTGACGACAAAGCTGCAACTGCCCATGTTCCCTGCCTTGTCCGTTGCAAAGTACGTGATGAATGTGTCTCCGATGGGGAACAACCAGGGAGAGCGGACCACTGGCGTGACGGTCACTGTGGGAACGTCCCCCGAGTTATCAACGCTCAGCGGTTCCGCCCAAGACACGTTCCCAACACTGTCGCCGGGGCTGGCGTTGACGGTGATATCATCCGGACACAGGATGTCAGGAGTTGTCACATCTGATAAGAGAAAAACAGAAGAGTTCTGTCAAAAGAAACTCTTCGACACTTTGAATCCTGAAGCATGAACGTGAACTGGCCGTTTACAACTGTTCTGGGTAATGTAAATACTTTACCGAGGCAGATGTTGGACGGGTTGGGTTTTGAACTCCACAAGCCAGATTCCAAGCACCGCTGTGCACTCTGGCTCTCGTCTTGGAGCTGATAGCCTGGATCACAGACTGTGACGCACTTGGTTCCGTAGGTCTGCCTGTTTGAACTGCAAGATGCCGGTTGCAGTGAGGTGTGGGAGACAGGCTCCAAGGGGGGACAGGTCACAGCTGAGGGGGAGAAAAATCAGAGCATTAAAGACCAACTCTCACTATGAACTTTCAACACCGTGAAAATGCAGTTTTACTATTAAATCACCGTGAAATTTTTGTCAAGGCAATGTAAGCCTGTTTTCACGGTGGAAAGTTGATCAGCTTGGGAGCGGATTAGCTAACAGCAGTTTCACGGACTTTTCACGTCAACTTCTTTGTAGCTTATGGTCCTATTGTTATTCATAACGGTACACCCCCAGTCCAGCTTCCCACCGTGGAAGATGGGAAAACAGCGGTTTAACTGTCAAAGGGTAATAAAAGATTAGTGTGATAGACAGCCAGGAATTAGCGTACCGGTTACCAACAAAAGGAGCGATTGAATACCCCTGTTTAGGTCTGGGCCTCCAGGAACCAGCGGAAACCTTGCATGAAGCAATATTGNTGAAGAACCGCAAGTGTCTCAAAGACATCAACATCATGGTGAAATCGTAACAGCCCGAGGCAAGGTGTGGGGAGGACAACAGGCATGAACCAACATGTCCAACGAGATGAGAGCGACTCACAACTTCAATCATGTTATCGGTCATGGGATAAACTTGGAAGGAAACTTGACAACGAGTACAACCCAAAGTTCCCGACCCTACAAAGCCTGAGTTACATGAGTATTTCAAAAACAATATTGAGTAGTTTGAAGTTTATAAAAAGAGTTAGCATGATCGTCCTTCCACCCTATTCTCCTTCAATCCAATCTAGGAGTTGTTTCTCATCACTATGATGGAAGGTCTGAGATCATAATCTGCATGAGAGTCACTCTTCTTGCAGCAATGGAAGTCCTAACTAGACATGTAGGCCTAAAATGATTAGGAAAATGATAAGTTCCAAACATCTGATGAGGAACTATTTCAAATAATCTTAGCAGGGTTCTGTGAGGGTCCAACTCTATAGAAGATATTTGCTCACAAGTAAGTCGAACTGTTATAGAACAGTGTGCCTGCCCAGTTAATGAAAAGATCACCTTTCACAACATTTCATCAACATTCACAATTACAGTACTAACAATTAAATGTAAAAAATGTAAAAATCAATACACTTTCACTTTCATTCTTGAAAGTCAATCTTGTTCAAATGAACTGACGCACCCTAACCCTAACCCTAACCCTAACCCTAACCCTAACCCTAACCCTAACCCTAACCCTAACCCTAACCCTAACCCTAACCCTAACCCTAACCCTAACCCTAACCCTGATTGCTAATTATTTTTGAGCCCATGTCAAGAAAATACGGAGAAGATCAGATCCAGATAAATGACAGGATATGATTGCGTGCGTGTTCTCGAAACCGTGATTAGCGAAATGCGAAGGGAACTTGTGAAAACCACAAAACTTTTTTCCTACATGCTGTGAATGTAAAGCAGGTGTTTTGTGAAGACAGGATCCTGTGTTTCCTAGAAAAGACAGGATTGATTTTTCCTTTTTTGAGCTGTCAGATGGATACACGTACGATGGCTCAAATTTGCCGGATGCAGCTGAAAAGTTGATTAGCACATTTTGCTTATGTAGAACCATGGAGGAAGGACACAAGTTTTTTTTCCCCAGCTCTAAACTGTGACACGATTCATAAAATTCCACGAAACTTGGTGTTAGATGTCACAACACCCCCCTTGACCACATACCAGAAGACATATGAATATTTCCAACTTTTGTTGGCAAAAGGCACATTGAGTGGTGAAGTTGTGAAGTTACCACATCGAATTATGGAACTGCCAAAAGACTGTGAAACTGTATACAAAGTGGTGGAATAACAAAGCCGACAATGTAGCATCAGAGCGAGCGAGGATAGCAACGGCGTGTACATCATTGTCCAATCCAGCATCGTGCATGGACAGGGTTTGCCCGTAACGTTTTTCTCACTTGCCAGCCGGACCAGCAGTGATGGCTTTTTACTACTCCATAAACAGAATTTTCACTAGTCCGCGTCTTCCCCCAAATTTCACTGAACATTCTTTTTGGCACTAGTGTTCAGTTCTGCTCCAACATCATGCACAACAGTGTGCACTCGGTGCTGACTGTTGTTTAATTGTCGATGAGTAATCATAAATGGCCATGGGAATTATGAATTTCCAGAATATTCATGAGTATAACTCTACTCAAGCAAATTAAATATAAATCACATATATGCCACAAAATTGAAATAAATGTTTCTGTGAGGTGACATAATTTGTGGGGAGTCGTTTTGCTGAAGTCCCTACAATGTTCTCATTCAGCTACAGGCCATGATGTAGTGTATGAACAACCTGGCCGGGGTTACATGTACATTGCAAGGATGCGAACATTGTGATTGGGGTGTTCAGTGTACATTTACACCTGTCACCACCACAGTAAGAAGACAGCTAATGGTACTTTTTATGTGACAATGGGCCCTTAAAGCATTTAAAGGATTAGCCCCACCACAAAGTTAATGAGGAAGGCCCCAGTAGATGGGCTCACTGCATTTTCATGGTGTTTTCACTTGACCTCATGGTGTCGGCAAGGGGTCACATCCGGGATTATTTTCACGATGTTTTTACCACGTGAACTGCCATGAAGTTGCAGTGAAAAAACAATTTCACAGTGAAACTGCAAATTAACTGCAAATTCACGGTGCTGAAATTCATAGTGTTATCGGGTTAACACTATTTTTAATGATGACGATCATGCCGGTCCAGGGAATGACAGGATCGCTGGGTGGAATCATGAGGGCGATGGCAAAGGGAGCCAGGCAGGCTACGAAGGCACAGACCACGTAGAACAAGTTCTTGGTGATTTCCACCTGTCGCTTATTGAAGCTAGGTGGTGGGTTCTTGTGAAGCTGCGTGGTGCTAGCAGCGTTGGAGGAACTTGAAGTATCCCCCATTTCGATTCCTTTGCCTTTCCCCGTCATCTTCTTCATGTGACCGGTGATGTGGCGGTAAATCTTGAAGTAGCATACGAAAAGAATGATCAGAGGAACGGGGTAGACNCTGAAATTCATAGTGTCTAAAGGTTTTGAAAGTTTGAAAATAAACTATTCTTGTGTTTGGTGTGCAATAAATATATTCATTAGCAAATCATGTCGTATTGCGTCTGTATTTTTGTAATTTTGCCAAAAATTTTGAATGGTGTCTTCTAGTTTTATGAAAAATTTCCACAATCTGACCGCTGGCAGTGCCACTGAGAATGTTGTATGTTGTAAAACTGGAGTAAACATTGAAACTGGTATTCGTGGCACGACTGGTTCCACTACGATCGTACATGTACATGAACTTGGGACTACATCTACGAGTGCACTGGGGATCGATCTGTGTGCCGGGTCTCAAGTGCCGCATTATTTCTTTTCCGACCAGAAGTCTGTGCTCCTTTTGTCATGATTGACAATAATGACAAAATTGTGCGTCATTGGTGGATATACTAGAAATTCTGTGAAAGAACTGGGGTTGAAACTCATCGAGTTTCCGAAGAATGAGAGTGTTTTTCAAGTTAGTGCTGTCGTCCACGGCTACATGTGCTATGCATTCCTATATAGTGCATGCGCTGTGGTATTTCTTCTCCACGTTACTACATCACAGAAATCAATATTCATTAAACACCAATGAGTCTGATGACACGTCCATTTTAACAATACCGGACTGGACTTGCAGGAAAAATGGGTACAAAAACCTGTGTTTTGCGAACACAAAAACGTGTATTACAAGGGAGATATTGGTTTGTGCCATTTTTAGTAGACTTGGCTCTTCAGAATAGGATTAAATATGAGAAAATTAGTATCGTCGGAGTTGGTCTTTAATCACATCAAACAATTGCAGACCCAGGCTAAAGTTCAAGCACTGACCATTTTGTCAGCCACTGGTCAATTTAGCCGGGTACCCAGGATATATTTTGTGCATGGGTTACCAGGGAAAAATTTATCAGTGGTTGTCACCTGGCCTATTGTATAAGCTTGCCCAAAGATTGCCTTAATACAAGGGGTTATTAATGTTAATTTCTGAACCTTCTGAAAGTTTGCGTGACTGGAACAAGGCCCAGATCTGGCTGCCAAAGGACAATGTTGGCATGAACTTGGCAAGTCCGGAAATCATTGGCAGTGACTATCTGGAAGCAGCCTTGGGTTGCTCTATTCACTTGCTTTGAGGGTGTAACTATTCTTCTGTGAGCATACTCCAAACAGTTCACATCTCATATTTTGACATTCGCCCAGGAACAACTCAACTCTGCCCTTGACTGAGTGCCAGAATCAGTCCAGGATCTTGAAGCAATCGACAGACTTGCACACGTCAGTCAATTGGATCTTCTGAAGTGTTATTTCACATTCGAGTTTGTCAAAGTTGCTGTTTTGCTTGAAAAGGATTAATCAACATTTTAATGCTATGAAAAGTGAGATAAGTATCCCTCCCCCTTTAAAAGTACAATTTTGAGGCAAAATCAATTACAAACTAAGGTTGGAATTCATACAGACTCTTAACTGGCCATATAAAATGACCATCAACATTTGTCAACAAAAGAAAGCTCTAACAGTGCAACTAAGGTGTAATTTCTGAGGAGCCAATCCAGGGGTGGACACCCTTTCTTCACCGGGGCACTGGAAGCAAATGACATGTGGCTGTCTATTAAATTTCAATTGAGAAAGAAGGTGCTTGAGACGGAGATAGGTAAGCTTAAACTTCTGCTGGGGGGGGAACGTTCCCCCGGATTTAGACCACTAGAAAGGTTCGAAAGATCCATTCTCCTGAAATTTAAAAAAAAATTGGATTTATAACCATTTAAGATTGAGTGCTGAGCACCAAGATAGTGAACTGCAATGAATTCCAATATACCTTTAGTGACACAAGGGTAATGGCGGTCAATGCAATTTTGTCAATCACGTTTGTGTCACAGAAATGAAGTGTTACCTCGGCAGGCAGAGGGCAGTCCATCCCATCGGGCAATGGGCAGGCACCTCCGGACCTTGGAGCCCACCAGGATGTGGCCCCTGTCGCAGACGGTGGTACACTCCGTGTCAAATGCAAAGTCCTCGCTGGTGCAGTGGACCGTTCCACCCAGGATCTCCTGGAGGGGATGGCACTTCTTCACTGTCATAAAAAGAAGAGTTGGAAGATACCTGCAAGTACTTGATGAAATTAAACAGTGTTTAATTTTGGAACTTTTTGGAAGAGAAGTTTGAAATATGCCAAACAAAATTTCCCCTCAAATGAGTAACAATGTAAAAAACCTTCTATTTCTAGCACAAAACATCAACCCCTTCTATATTTAAAGCTATAGGCCAACATTTGTTCACTTCAAAAATAAAATGCAATGTGAGACCAAAAATCTTTTTCAGTGTTTGCTGCTTACTTATTACAGAGCTTAACGGACTGCTGAATGCTATCTCCTGACAGCTTGACAACATTAAAAATGGATGGATTCTTTTACATTTGTAATTTATACAATCATCTATGATTTGTGATGGCTTAGCTGAAACGGGAGACTGCTTGAGGGAAGAATCATCAGCCAATTTCGGTCAAAATCAATATGCCATAGAAGCCGAAGGACTAATTCTCAAAAAACTGAAGACTGTTGCGCAACTGTAGTTCATCATTTCTTCGTCTGTCACCTTTATAAAATGCAGCTGTCAAAGGGAAACATGCACTTAATCCTCCCATAATAGCCCACCTTTGCAAGTTGCTGGCTCATTGCTCCAAGAGCCGTCCGCTGAACACACCAAGATGGAGCGACCGATCAGCTCATGCCCAGGGGAGCAGCGCAGCGCGCAGGCACTGTGGATGGTGTTACTGCACTGCCCCGTGACAAAGAACCCATTGGTGGGCGGAGAGAGGGCCGGACACGTGATCACTGCACACAGAAAGGGAAGGGGGGGGGAATAAAACGGGTCAAAAGTTTCCCTCAAGGACAAGTAATCTCAATGTATCTAGAAAGCTGACTGCGGAGCCTGAGAACAATTGCCCCCATGCACTCAACACATCGCCCATGAATTCGAATGCACATGTCAAATTAGGGAAAATTATGGCCATAACTTTCATAATTTGATTGACTTTTTTCCCTCGATCAAAAGCACAAAACAATTCTTTATGTTCTGATCATCCATTAACCCTAACCGTCCCTAACCACACAGAGTTGAACACCAGTAAAGTGTGTGAATTTGTGGCACTGGGTACTGTACCCCTAACCCCTTCGGGCCGGGACGCGGCTAGAGCCGCCGTAAAAATTGAGATCCTCAGCCCGCTTTTCAGCTATTATTCCCGGCCCACGCTCGAGCGAACACAGTGAAAGAAGGCAGACCATGGCTCTTGTATATATATATGGTGATTGGCCTTTGTGTGTAGCCCAGAAATGAATTATGCATCATAATCACCAGCTTCACAATAGTCACCACTTTGAAAAGAGGCAACGGGAATGTGGAAGCGTGAGTAGAGCTGCATGCCACCGAACAATCAGCCTTTTCACTATGTAATTCAGAGCGTGCAGAGCACGCAGGGCCACAAACCGAGAATTTGCGGTTTGGCAGGTGGCCTTCGTGGCCAAGGGAGACTGGAATTCTTGGAGTCGGCTTTCGGGAAGAAATTCCCGTCGGCAAGGGGCTAAACTGCTTGTGCTTTAACATGGGTTCAGGCATACCCAAAATAAACAGAGTCCAACAGTTTTATGCACAGTTTACCATGGTGTTGGAATTTGTGTGAATGGGTATGGTTCCGAGTAAATCACTCTGGGAGTTAGGGTTAAAGCTGTCTGTTTGTTTTATCTTATTTGTCTATCTTGTTGTACATGTACAGTTCGATTATCTTACACGTATTTGAAACAGGACCACAACTTTCATTTCAGCATTTGATTATCTACATTTCAGTCCAGTTTACTGTTGCTATAGTAACAATGTGGAGAAAAAGGGACTGGTAATGTTTATATCAGTTTTGTCATTGCCTACAGGGGCTGACAAATCTATGGCTGGTTGTTATATAAGTGCTAAATCAAAAGACCAATTTGTTATTAAATTGTTAAAAATATCTCACTCACCTTTTTAAACAAACAAATTATGAACACTTTTGATAAATATTATGAAGAAACCCTCTTTTAAAACAGTGGATAAATGTACAGTTTATATCTGACTCCAAGGGTGTTATTTCTGCAAGCTTTGCCTACCCAAAGGAATATAGTAGGTGACAGAGTGGTTTTTCAATAGAGACCTTCAGCTGAGGGCAGGGTCCTTCACCCATGCAGCCACAGGCACAGTGGCTGGCTCAAGGATGCGGGTTTCCAGCAAAATCAATTGTCAGTTGGCTTATCCCTACGGGGGATCTATTAGGACCATCCCGGGGCTCCCAGCCGGAGCCGATAACCAGGCAATAAACTTCCCCGAGATTTCCTGCTGCTTGGCTTGTGTACATTCCATCTTGGGGCCTGATTGCTTCAGAGTGTAGATTTCCTTTCAGGAATCTGTGAGTGTTTACTCAACCAATTGCTCAGCGCTCTCTAAAAGCTATGTAATAATATTAAACCTCCTAAGTGTTGTCTGTGGTTTTTCTTTAACTACAATTTTTGTTTATATAGGGTTCATTACATATGTCTGGTGCCAAGCCTAATATTATGAAGCAGTTTGTGTTTTGAGTGTAACATTATATCTATTCCCAGTCAAACTCAGGAAACAGTGACTTGCCTTCTGGGCATTGAAAGTTAACTTTGTGCAGTTCATAACGTTTCCAATTAAATCAATCCACACATTGGACTTGGAATGATCTTGTGATTTACAAGTGGCTGGGCTTGTGATAGACAAGTAAAACAGAATGCATTCACATTAGGACACAAATTGTCATCATAACATAAGCCATAGAGTTCCTTGTAATAAAACTTTTTTTGTTTATCAAAACTTGATTAACCCTAACTATAGAGCTCTTACCATGCCAAACACTGCAAAAAACTCTGAGAAATTTGCACCAAACCCACAGACGTCATATTAAAAGTCTGGAGTCGCTATCACATAGGTCACTGAAGCTAATGATGCCAAAAACAAAGGTAATACAAAGGTTTGCTGACCATTGTTAACAAAATTTGTTCATGGCAATAACAGTTTCATTGGCTGGCTTTTGTATTCGGCATGGTAAGATGGCTGCCAGTGGCTACAGTCGATACAAGGACATTTTAAGTCCAGATTTTATAAAATGGCGTCCATGACTAAGCTTGCCGAGTCAGCATCCTTGTCTTAGAATTCACACACACTACACTAATGAACCCCAAGCTGGACCAAGAGAGGGCGCAACTGTCCTAGCAACGCAGACTCCTTTGGTAGCAAATGCACTCTGCTGGTTCACAGACGACTATAAAACGCATGCGTTCTGGTTTTTCTCTCTACCAAGAAAATGAACACTCCCCACTAACATGGATCTTTTAAACCGATGAGGGGGTGCTTCTACTCAAGGCGGAAAGTGTAATTCGACAACCAGAATTTGAAGCCATTACTGCGGAGGCACAACGCTCGTGGACGAGTGGTACTCGTGGGTTACATGCCCCTTCAACCAACAGGGTGTCATGATTTGCCAAATGAACGCGCACATCAAGCTGACGAATGTGCATGTGAGTGCGGTGCCACCGCATTTATGGCGTGCAATAGGATCAGTCTATAGGTTACTTATCCCTCTAATGTATAAGATTGTGCTGGTGAAGAATTTTGTTAAATCTACCAATGATCCACCACACATTTATCACAGTAAACTTTTAAAATCCATTTCTGGTACAGGGAAAAACAATTCAGATATCACACTCACTCCGACAGGCTGATTCCCCGTCCACTGCCTGGTAACCACTCCGGCACGTGCAGTCTGTCACACTGATGCTGCCGGGCCCGCTGGTGTGGTTGGGGTCTGGGCATGCCCTACAGGTGCTGATGCCCCCTGGAATGGCTTGAGGCTTGTAAGTGCCTGCAGGGCAGGCTAAACCAAAGAAGAAAAGGTAATATTATGAACCATACCAAAGAAAACTGCCTCAGTTTGAAATCTAAATGGAAGTGTGGCGTATACGCAGCACAGATCCCTACTGGTGACAGGAAAATATACGGTATACTACCTTGTAAACTGTCAACCCACATACAGTGATTTGCTACTTCTCACGATCATTTCTTTTGTGGCATTCACAGACACACTTCACATGATTTCCTAGAGGACTATGTGCTAAATGGCTTCAAACTATATGTAAGCCTTGTGTTTTCTCTGTGGTAGGCCCTGAACAATCAAGGCCAGATCTGGAAGGAGCCAAATTGTTGTTTGGGCAGCCAAAATTTCATACCAATTTTTTGGGGGGCGGGCCCTTCTGAAAGGTTGGGGCTGCATGTAGGGGCTCGAAGTATGCTTTTGGAAGGAAGGGAAATAAAACCGAGCCAAAATTTACCTTTTTCTTGTAAAGCTTTGTTCTCCTTTTAACCACTTAATGCCGGATGACGTGTAAACACACAAAATTTTCCTTATTTGTTCCATGGAGGATGTGTACAATTGTTTAAGAATTCTTTTTTTATATCTGCAGTTGACATATTAACGAGTCATGGTTTGTTGGGGCAGAGTGCAATTGCAAGGTTGAAGAATTTGCAGGTAAAAAAAAAATTCTGCCCCAACCGCTTTTTCAGGTAAGAAAATCCGATGTTAACTGCTTAAGAGGGAACATAGTCCCCACGACCCCTTCCTGCATCCATCAATGTACATGACAGGAGCTTGTAAATACAAGCTCTCTCTAAAGAACAATTAAAGCCTCACTTACCGTGGCAACCGTTCACAAACCCACTCCCGTGGTAGCCCGGCGGGCAAACACATTCGTACTGGCCGTTGGTGGTGCCACATCGACACGTCGCCAAGGGATGACAGCAATGCCCTCCCACGGGGCAGAGCGATGAGCACAGTCCAGCATTCTCCAGTATGAACTCTCCCAGATGAAGATCTGGAAAAGGGAGGGGGAAAAAAACTTCTCTCTATCTGAACACATTTTATGCATTTCACTGTCTTTTAATGTAAAGTTTTCATTTTGTAATGATTTGGTTTGTCTCGTTTAAAAAACATTTTCTGCATTATTTTGGGCAAAGATTTGATTACATATATTTTTCTTTATCCATTATTTATTGGAGTATTCTTTTAGTGCCCCTACTTAGGGTACCGTACTTTGTAACGTTTCAGTCGCACTCATTTTTTAATAAAAATTTGCAACGTTTGTGTTAAATTGGAGATGGCCAACTCCTGCGCATAAGAAATATTTTTGGGATTTAAATTTGAATAAAGTCTGATACATTGAGTTACATTAACAATTTGAATGCTCTCCTCTAAAAACACTGTTGCTGTTCCTCATGATTCGAGGCAAGCTTTTGCTTTGTTATGTAAGAGATGCCTTGCAACAATTACACTGTTCTCAATGGATAAAAAGGGCACAAAGGAACCAGTCCATTCCAGATATGGTAGTCGATATGCAAAAGCTTGTCCAAGAGGTACAGCAACAATGTCTTTAGTCTGGGGAATTCAAATTTTTACATGTACGGTTATGTGCAATCAGCACCAGAGTTAATTCAAATTTAACTCACAAAAGGCTTGTTGATGCAAAATCAGCAGGCAGCCAATTTCAAGTTCAATAATTTGTTTAACAAAATATCCCAATGTCACACTTTGGATGTTTAACACAAAGAGTGACCCACATGCTCAATTTATCATTTTGCCTTTTTTAATAATTGGTTAAAGTCAGAGAAATCAATAATTAAAGAGTCAAAATTACTGAAACGTCCTCACCATCTCATCTGAGATATCTAACATCCTGTGAGTTCTGAGAACTGGTCGTCTGATGCATAATGAGCACGTTCCACTATGGCTGTGTCGAATATCCAAATATTCGGATATTCGATCGAGTACCAAATATTCGAATATTATTTTTCGAATTCAAACATTTGAATGCAAAATTCATGAAAACAAAGGGAGAGTTTTCTTTTGTTTTAAATGTGAAAAATTGCACTGTGGAGGCTTGTTTCAAGCAGACTCAAATGAAAAGCGACAGAAATCTTACAATGATTCAAAAATTAATTTGTTCATTACAAATTTTGAAAGGACAAGAAGTATTGTTTGTTTCTAAATCTTGCTATATCATGGATGGAGATACTCCTAGACATGAGAAGCTATTACAGTGAATAAAATAAACAATTTTGTGCATTATTGCAACTGATTTTGTATATGGATTGTTCGACAATTTGCTGGTCGGTACGAACAAATAATCGGATATTCGATCGAATTGAAGGTCGAATATTCAAACAATGAATTATTCCAATTGACTCAGCCCTACGTTCCACAGACCTGACTGAAAGATTTTCAACTACAAGTAAAAAAATTATATCCAAAGACTTTGGGGTGGGACACAAACAGATTCCAGCAGCCTGTGACAGGTGTTTTCTTTCTGTCAAGGTGGACAGCCCATCACCCTGCACACAAGGTCGAACACACAAACAAGGCAGGAACTACCTGAACATTTAGGAAGGATGGTGACAATTGGCAGAGGATATGCGCTGAAACAACGTCCGCAAGACTGCTGGGAAAAACTGTCTGAATAGTTCCCCATGAATAGGGCTGTCTGACATGCTGAAAGATTAATGAACTTAAGGAGTCGGGGGGGGGGTCGTGGAACTGACATGACTGACGTTCATAAATGATAAAACGATTAAAGCGGCACGTACGCCAGATATGTGTCGGATCATCCTGACAGATTTTAGTTTCAACTGCACTGCTGGTGTAAAGGGTCATGGCAAGACTGAACACATGGCAAAACTTACCGCAATGGCCGAAATTCTTAACAGGTAAAATCTGACAGAACTGCCGCGACGTTACTGAATACTGGATCATGGGCTACTGGGTGCGTGCAACGTGCAGCAAGAGCAGCGTGTCTACAGTGCCCGCTCCTTGACCCGCACACCATAACCAAAGCGCACTTCGACAGTTAGGGGACCTGGCTAATTGTGATTTTGTCTAAAGAGGGCGCTTAAAATTAGTCACTAGACTGCTATGCCTTGAAATTATAGCGAAGCTTCTCCAATCGACAGGGACCAGCCGATTTGTGTGTTCGCGTCAATGTTGATTGAGCGGGAAATTTTGAGTTAGTTTTTCCAACATGTGTTTACCTTGTGCGTAGATAACTGCCGCAAGACAGAGTAAAACTGATGGAAAACAGCACATGTCAAAACAAAGCTATTTCAAATCAACAGGGATAATGCATTTGTATATGACTATTGTTTGAGGAAATCTGGCCCCCTGCCCCTAAGGCCATAAAATATTACATGAAAAAAATCGGAAACTTTATGAGCAAGTTCGGTATTTCGAAATAGCAAGGAACAAAGCATGCGTACGAGTCTCCGTTTAGGGCAGCGCTGATGAGGACAGACCTCACACGGGTGTCCGAATGACCTCTTTTTTAGGCCTCATTTTGGGCATACGCTGGTTGGAATACTGAAATGGCTCATTTTTCTCCACCCCCCCACACACATACAGCCCCCCCCCCAAAAAAGAGGAAAACCAAATCAGTTGTGCCCAATATCTATCTTTTCTTACCGAAATGCCCACGAGCGTCGCTAGACCATTTTCAATGGGGCGTGCTATAGGCCTATATGAAATTCATTTGCCGATGGACCTTGACGCAAAACGAGTGTACTGTGTCTCCCTTCCTTTCACCTTCGTTCTCCGTTCTTCGTTTTTTATTTTGCCGACAGACCACGATTTTGCCGACCAAACTAACCAATGGGGGGGGGGTTGATATCCCGACCCCAAGGGTCGCCTATGGAAATGCCTATCGAAGAGTACACCTTTCCCATAAGATGCAAACTTGGAATCTTGTGGTATTTATCTTTGTGGTGCAATAAAATGGCCCCCAATTATTCGTCGAAAGCTAAGATTTTATGTGATCTGAGTAGGCCTAATTTTGGTCTGGGCCTACTTGCGGTATAGAGCAAAATTGAAAATAGATATCGTTTAGCTATAAAGCCTACTTTTCAGCTCATTCTGTGTAGGGCCCACTTATTCATTTATTTTTCCATGTGAAAGGAACATCTACGTTTGCGCACTCACAAAGATATGATGTAGGATCTTAGGCCTATGTCCGTCCCTTCATGAAAACTTCAATCTCAGTCGAAGTAAAATAATGGAAATTTTCTTTATGCCTGTCTCTCCTCTAAAACCTGTGATGATTTTCTTTTTCAAGGGACCGTGTTGGATTTTTTCAACGCGTTGCTGTGCTTTGAATGCTATTTGGAAACGAAAATATATAACCCAAATCCATTTAAGCCCTATAACAACGCAGTGAAACTTAGTAGAAACTCACCTTCATGAAGCGCCCTCCTCGCCAGAGCTTCGAACTCATGGAAAGTATCCAGTATGTAGCAGTGCTCTCGTTTGGGCGCTGTCGCCATCGTGTACAGCTCTTTCACGTTCCCATTTTTAATCCCGAAAGTGAAAATCTCCACGTTGTTGCGGGCAAGGTCCTGCGCGATCGGACGAGGGTCGCCGCCGTTGGAATAGCCGTCTGTAATAAGGAACACGGCTTTGGTGGCGTTGGGGCGAGTGAAAGGCGACGATAACGCTTTCTGCGCGAAAAAAAACACAATGGAATTTCCATCAGGCCCAGAATTTCAACGAATCATATATCTTATAGAAGAAAAAGGAGACTGAGGGAAAATGAGATATAAGAGCAAAAAAAAAAAAAAATAAGCCAGCATGAACAAATGCCATATTTTTTCTTCTGACAATGCCATCAATTGAAAACAATGCTTCCCAAATGGGAGCGTATATAACGCACTCATCAGCACATATGTCTTCAAGATCACACTGTGACTTGTAAATCAGGCTTGGGCTGGCAGTGACCCAGCGTTAACGCAAAGTCATAAAAATAAGTTCAGCCGATGTTGTGTTGATCCTCGGGGTGAACCTGGGGCAACAGGTCAAACAAAGTACCGTAATTATTTACAAATATCTCTCAAATATTCGGTCGATATTTATAGACAGACCAGCAGTGTGTTGTTAAGACAGGGTGTACTGCAAGATATACGACGTGGAGTTGAAATACATTCTAGTGCTCCGTTACACGATGAGCAAAATATCACTGCACAGAGGAAAAAAAATAACTTAAGACTGCAGGTACATGGTGTAATAAGCCCAAATAAAAATCGAAAATATAAATATTTATCACCTGCCGAATTATGGAAAAGCTATATCAACATTTACCATAAAAGACGATGCCTGGTTTCTAGTATGATTTCACTTGTATAAAAAGGAAAGGAGGAGAAACCGATCCGTTTTGAAGGAACTACTGAGGCTGACATTGCAGATACAAAAGCACAGTTAATGCATTATGCCTGGACTGACACGAAATGCGGAAGTCGTTTGTAGTATAACTGGCGTTAATGGTTTAATCATCGTCACGTCTACATGAAGTTCAAGGCGATGCCGTCTGGCCGCGGGGGGGGGGGCTCTCCAACACATCACGGCTGGTTCATGGTCATAATTGATAATTAAGTAAAATGCAATCTGAGCTGATAGAGCAAACTACAAGGTTTAGTTTGTGTGGCATTTTTGCATGGTGATAAAACTAATTAGAACGAAGTTTTGGCGTATCTTGTTCGTGCACAATGTTTTTCGAAATATCCCATCATCAAGAATTCCATATATCTTCATGCACAATTTTCCAGTTAAAAAAAATTAACAAGTTTCAACAAGGGATACGCCTGTTAATTGTAGAGGGATTTTAGCGAGAAAAGAGGCTCAGTACCTTGGGGACCTAGTTTAAAAAGTAGACTAAAGTTATTGGGTTTTGCATGGAGAAATATCCCTCCATGGATTTTGTGAGACACGAAGGCTTGTGATGTGTCCAATACAGAATTCTTTTCTCATAATTTATTGTGTGGACTTCACTGTGAAATTAATTGCATTTCACTGTGAAATTGATTGCACTTGTAATTCACAGAAACTGAGACCTACTAATTTCGTAAAATGCTAAATTAATGCGTAATCATTCTTCCGTCAGTGAGGTGGCGGGAGCACGATGTATAGTCACTAGGTCCCTAATTTCGCCGAATAATGTCAAGTCTAATTGGTTTTCAAAGTCAATGGCGAAACAAGGGACCTGGCAACTATACTGTTATGGACGTTGGTGGTTAGGGTGTGTAGCTTTTGATCATAGGGTCGGGGTTCGATTTCAACTGGTGGCAGGATGTTGTGATCTTGGGCAAATCACTTTACCACTGCCTCTCTCCACCCAGGAGTAAATGGGTACCTGTGAGGGCAGACATGGTTATGTTAGCCGTGTGCACCTTATATAGCTGCATCAGCTGATATACTCCCCTGGGGAGCTGAGATGGTTTCAGGAATGTTCAGATGTTGAGAGCCGAATGAGCGGGGATAATGATAATATATGTAGCACCATGAGCGCCCGGTACTCCACTGCAGAAATTGTGTTAAAATCAACACTTTTCGGTGTTATCAGGTTACCACATTATAGGGTGTTACTTTAACACCGCTGGTGTTACTTTGTACACCTATAAGTGTTACAATGCACTGGAGGGTGTTAAAAGTAACACCAAACAACACAAAAATTTTAACACCAGTGAAAAGTGTTGGTGTAGTCCTCTGATAACACCGGGGGTGTTAAATTTAACACCCCAGTTTTTGCAGTGGTATATCAGGTAGAAGTAGTAGTTGTAGTAAGTCCTCAGGAATCGGTCTCTTTTTATTACCCACCTGCGCCAACAGAAATGCTCCTCTTGTGTAGGTCCCACCGCCGACGTAGGTTATCCCCGGCAGCTCCGAGTTGAGCAGAGAGCATTTATGCTTGGTGGGACTGGGGTCCCCTAGATGGTCAATGTTGGCCACCACGCGGTGGCGGGAAGCGAAGGTGATGACCGACACTCGCGTGGCCCACTCCGCCACCTCGAAGCTGGCCAAGAGCTTCTTGACGAACTTGAGCTCGTTGAAGAAATTGGTGTTCCCGACGCTGGCCGAACTGTCCACGAGAAAGACCAGATCCACCTGCCCGTTGGCCGTGCTACGGAGTTTGTCCACCTGGCCCTTAAGGACGTTGGCGCTGGACATATTGGAGCATCCGGCCTTAGCTTCGGCACGGGACAGCTTTCGATACGACTCGACCAGCTGAAACTCCTGTGTTTCGTATAGAGCCTCACCGTCCATTAAATTTTCCTCGGCAGAATTCGTCGATTCCTTGAGTTGATTTGGACTTTGCGTGTTGTCTGCGTCATGGGGACTTTCAAAATAAGCGCTGGTTGGCACAGACTGGTCGGTTTCGTTCAGTAAATGGTCTGGTTCCGTGTGAAGTATAGACATTGATGTAGCAGGAGGCAAACTGCATATGCAAAGCAACAGAAAGGGCAGCATGATCGTGACTGAACGTAACGTGGGGCCACTGCCAAACCCTGGTACCGAGGCAGTCAGCACCATCTCCGTAGCCGTTGCCTTGCCGTGTGACTGGAGCGACTTCGTGCAGAGATATGACATCTTTGCCACGGATTTTAGTAAACATACCTCATCGCCAGAAGGCCGTCGGCTTTCCACTCAGTGTGCCGGGGCAGCACACGCTGCTGTCATGGTCCGAGCGACAACACCTTGGCCCTTCTCGACACCCCTGTCCCTGGAAGTTCACGCAGAGACTGTGCTTTCCAAGCAGTTACCGCACCCCAATAGAGTCTCTTGTTTGGTTGCAACAATGGCAATCGACAGTTGCCTCTTGCTCACAAAACACCCCACGCATCAACGGTGTAAAAAAAAACCCAGCTTGCTTGGTCCGTGGCCTTTCATCCATGCATACCGTATAGTGCCGGTTAGAACAAGTGCTAGCTTTACTTGCCAACCGGTGAGGAGCGTCTAAGCCCAGCTGTGAACTGTCAACTAACTCATCACCATCCATAACCTTGCAGTGAACTGATCGCCCAACACCGAGTCCCCATTATAATCGGTCGATAATGTACACGGCTTGGTTTCGGCCAGACTGCCCCCGTCTGCGCAAGGGCACTATGGCTGCGCACGCGGCTGCTCGGAGACACGACAGAGTTATCGGAAGCAGCCTGTCGTGGTCTCTTCGGGTCATCAAGATATGTGGCGAGGAAGTTGGCTTTCCTGGCTTGTCTGTTGTTATCCACATTCTTCATTGTACCAACAAATCCGGTTTGCAATCGACTTCCCCGTTTCAACTTATTAAAGTGGCACTTGCGAAATGAGGTCCCTGTGACGTTATAACAAAGTATAGGGCGCTTAATAAACGGCGTTGTTTCTTCAGCTGGAAAAAAAATTCCCCTGGAATCCATGGATCGTGGAGATTTGTCAAGCCCATCGCTTGTAGAAATATCATCGGTTATCAGCTTTCAACCCTAAAGGTGAAACAAGCCTGATGTTTACATTGTTACAAAATGTTTTGTATTTTTACATTCTCATAGAAGTGGCGAGTAAAATGACCAACAGACAGGTTTGCTATCTTTAAACGAAGACCGGTTCCTTTATCTTTTTCAGTGTCAGCCACCGTAAAATGTACACACTCTGTCTTCAATGATTTAGGGTTTTCCTCTCTCTCTCTTTCATCAATCGAATTTGTTTCGGAAGTGTGGCCTAAATTGTAGCCAAATGCTTGATCCTTTCGGTAAAAACGTGAATTGTTTCTTTGCTCTTTTTAGGATTGAATGTTTTACATGGTTTCGGCGTAAGACAAATCTGATAAGAGCCCTTTTTGCCAAATGAGGAAATGAAAATGTTGGAAGGTCGACGAAAGTGCAGCCTCAATTGATAGGAGACAGTGACACGCAATAGGCTTAGTCGCAATGTTCACCGTCAGAGGGCGTTAAGTAAACTTGTATGCGCGCGGCAGAGATTTCAAATACATGGAAAGCTTTTGGAAAGGCGGATCCAGGTCTCAAACTCCCGTCTCAAAAAGATTCTACATGCTAAATGCAATCCCTTTCATCTTGAACCCAACTTTAAGTCAGACGTCACCGCGCCATGTCTATCAAAAATAATCGTGAAGTACAACCAAAAAAATGTCAAGATTGGAATTGGAGGTTTTTTCGTGACACTTCGAACTTAATATGCTGACTCATGCTGGCTACATTAGTTCTCTATTTCGCGTACTAATTCGGAATAGATTATGCGCCGAAATGATGCAAACTGTCTTCGATATCTCTGACATATCACTGAGTACATTACTAATAATAAACTTGCGCAGGACCATATCACGAGGCAATAATACTAATACATCTAAATTTATCAAATGAAGTTATTTTCGCATTCATCAAACTACTCCAAAATAACATCGAGTGAAAATATGGAATATTGTCAAAAATTCTATCTGTTCCTCATCCACTCTTTGTTTAGTGTCTGAAATGAGCGATTGGATCGGACGAGGAATCATTCTGCACCGTCCCGATTACCGATCATCTTAATATTATCTTACTGAATGGATGCAAAGGAATTGGCAATTTGAAAATTACATAATAGTTAAACACTAGAATAAACGTGCATGTTTCAGTTAAAAAGAAGAGGTGATCGGGCGATATCGATTTCAAGCTTAATAAGACGTCACAGAATTTGACAGATGTGACCGGAAATCAGTGGCGTAAATTTGTGCCAAAATTGGGGGGGGAATGGGGAAAGGTAAGGGGATGACTTGCCCGACCACGATAATTTGAAAAGCGGAGGGGGATGACACGATATGACTCTATATGGAGGTCAATGTTCATGATATTGAGGTACATCTGAAATATGTATTCGAAATGGCACATTTATGGCTTTTTAAAACTGTTCTTCCTTCTTTTTCTTGAGTGATATTGAACGTATTTCAATCATTGGAAGTCTAAACAATTCTTCCCATTCAGCTTAAATTTTTTGCTCTCCACAAAAATGTTGGGGATAATGACTGATTAGCCCATCCCCACCTCAAAAAGTGGGGAAAATATACCCCTCCCCCATCCTCCCTAGGATTTACACCCATGCCAGAAATGGCTGATTTAGACGAGGCGGTGCCCGATCATTTGATGATTATAGGCACCAGAGCTCTACATAAGCTGTAGTCCACTCAGGCTAATATTAACGCATCGATTCATAGTAGGCCTATTTTTGTCTTGATGGATGTCTGGAGTAAAGCCTATGCCGTGATATTGTTGTACCGAACTCGATTCGAATGAGTACAGCCCAGAGTTGAAGTGCACCCCCAAGCGGCAAATGACAGATGCTTGTAAGTTTTCCAAGCGGGTTCTTGCACGCGTTCTGCTTGTACGCATAGGTCGAGTTCGGGAGGCCTGTTCTTGACACGGGTTTCTTGTTCTTGCGCTCGAACGGCGGGAACACGACTCAAGAACACTGTTCTCGGAACAGGATCACACACCACCTCCTCGTCAGGGTTTTACAGGAACACGCGGAAAAACTAGTGAGATTTTGATTTTTGATTAGCTGCAAAAAGTAGAGAGATGGCTTCCAAAGCCATAGACAATGGGAAGTTTTGGAAAATTAACATTAATTATTTTCCATAACACAGAAATGAATGTTCCTGTTTATACAGAAAAGAATTCAGCCCATCCAAACATTAACTCTTGAATAACGTAGCCTACAGGGACGCCTTCATGTTGCATATATGTTGCTTGTCACTAACTATAGGCCTAAGCGATAACCGGTGTTTGTTCCCGGCTTTCGAGCGGCCGACCAACGAACAACAAACCGAGCAGTTCGTGAACATACGGGAACAAGCCGCCCGAACTCGGCCAACGACCATGCATTAGGGAATAAATTCGTTACGCGTACTCAGCGTGAAACGCGCCATTGATCTCCATTATAAACGCAGGCTTTTGTGCCCTTTTCCAATACTCGACTTGGGCTCCGTCTCAGGCTTCGTTCCCAAAACCAATCCCCGATTGTGGGCCTGAAGCGTTTAAATTAAACTTGATTACTGTAATTTCTGGCTCTCTTGCATCTTATTTGATGTTTTGTGGCACTATTAAACTAATTACTGCGCTTACAGCTTCAACGTCAGCTAGTTAAAAATCAGTTGAAGCCTGAGACGCAGCCGCAGTTGAGTATTGGAAAACGGCATAAACGCGGGTGAGTACGAAGAAAACACGCCCTCTTTTGTTGCGCTGGGAGCGGTTTGCACGGCCACCGCGCGGTAGCTCGCAGTTGTGGTTAACGCCCAACGTCATCGTGCGACTGCCCTTCAGAACACTGATAACGCGGCATCCCTGTCGAGCTGAAGAGCCCAGGCCTGAGATATGAACTGGCCAATTTGAAGCTCTCCAAAAAATTCGAAGTTCAGAGATACTGAAACTTTTCTTGAGGAGTCAGGTTGGCGTGGTGGTTCTTTCCTCGCCTTCCACCTTTGTGGTCCCGGGTTTGGTCCACATATTGGGTTTCCAGTCCCTAACAGATCCCATCAATCTCAAATTTAAAATGGAAAAGTCGTGTTAATTCAAAGTATTATATGATGCACAAGTCTCAAATATCTTCGAAATATATCAATTTAAAAATTATAGTTAATATTCTTGTAAAACTTACCGACGTACTTATAAAACATTCACTCTTATACACAGATCTAGATTTAGATGAGCAATCACAGTAAGTAAATGTTCAAGAGTTGTACTTTGCCCCGAGAGCTATATTTTGAGCTATAATCAAACAGGATTGTTGCTTGAGCATAAGAACAAAAAATATTTTTAAAAGCACCAGTTTCCTGGGTTTTAATTTAAAGATACTGTGCTGTTCCACTTCCTATTTCATTTCTTGGCGTAACAGAAACATTGTATTTTCAAGATATATATATTTTTTGCGTTGGGGAGA